AGTTATTGCTTGATCGAGTAACTAACACTATCACGTACGTGCAGCAGACGGCTCCACAATAGACTTTTCGAATGATTCACGCCTAATGTCGATTTCGTTGTTAATAGCCTTCCGCAATTGGAGTGATTGTCAAAAGTAGACACCACTTCTTTACAGATTCATCCATCCGCGGCAGACATTTTTCTTCCGTGTCTTCTAGGTCTGGCAATGAGCCTTGAAGATCAGGATGGTTGTCTATTTGTATCGGTTTTGTTTGTCTCTGTCACCAATGTGGCATTTCGAGTCTTCCTCGAGGTCACAATAAGCGGAAGTATTATGAAAGAACTTAGTGAAGAATGAGGAGGCTATAAACATCTCTTGAAGGCTAAACAGTAGAGCGAAAGTGCAATCTGTGGAGATTAAGGCACCTACGCGGTTAAATACGCAGTGTAAAAATTAAATATCTACGAATTTGTGGAGGCCAACGAAATGTTCTAATTTGATTCAGCATTAGCCTCACTCTTTAAGCATAAGCTTATGCTAGTAACGTAACATCCCTCTGCTATTTTAATAAAGTTTTGTAACACAAAATGGGACCTTTTTAAGGCAGGCCATCTGAGGCTAGAGCGAATCATGATTTGAAAATACTTTGTGGGTAATGCGAGTCTTATTTGGGAAAAGCTAATGATATGCCCATTTGCTCAACTAGTGCTGTAACAAAGAAACCATTCCTCGTCACAAGTCAATCAGTCTGTCAGCCGGTCAACCAGTGGAGAAACTGAAATAGGCGGCGGGGTGGAGCACAAATTGAAAGCTTTTCAAGCATTTTGCCTGTCAGTAGTTATTGAAGCACGCACTACATGTCATGGAAACCAAGACTTTCCTTTCTTATTTGTTGTAGGTGGAAGCAATTTAACCTTTATTAACCTTAACCTTTATTTGGAGTTGTCCTTGACACCCTCATCTTGAATTAACTTGTCAACTTTGGCACTTAAAGGTACTCATTTTTATTAAGTACTATGCTGGACGTAAAATATCAGTATTATATTATACGAAAAGAAAATTTGTTTAATCCAAATTTTACTGATCCTCATTTCAAGTAGAATAACCCTTTGGATCTGTTTGCAAATGTTTTCTTTTCTGTGAAAATATTTTCCGCTACTCTAAGTGAGAAGTTGCTTTCACTCGGGCGATTGGAATCTGGATACTAGAGAATGCTGAAACTACTGTCCGATAGTAGGACTGTAAAATACACGCCAGTGTCAAAGAAAGACAGCCAATCATGACAACTTAGTAATAACTGCATTTATTTTGACTCTAGCGGAAAATTTCGAATCACAATCGTGAGTGCTTTATTATCTGAAAGAGGTGATGGACTGCGTTGGATAGATTTGTTTCTTCGAGATAAGGTTGACTTCGAATTTGTGCATCCCCGTCGGGATATGAGCTCCGTGTATTGGCAATGCTCTCTCTCTAGCAAAACCATCTAAAAGTAAACTGGCCATTCTTAACATTGCTATGTTACAGTTATTAAGAATGAAGTAGTGCTGACTGTGTGGCAAAAGTTAACGATAATTGGGTAAGGGTGCTGATTTTGTTCTGACTTCGGCGAATATTATACCCCGATGAGCTTTCTAGTCATGGAGCATTTGAATAGTGCAAACGTTTCGGAAAACCTTCCTGGTGTCTGTCGGTGAAGAACTCGGCTGTGGTAACGATGATCCTCGGCTCATCACCTCAACAATAATTCACTTGGTCACGCACTTTAGTGAGTGGTAGATCTTGTGTCTGTAATGACAAAATTTCACAAAAGAATACTCCTTCCGTGAAGGCAACTGTTCACAAAGATTGGATGGTTTAAGAGCCTCCGAGTGCCACAATATCCATCCACTTTCAACTCGCATAGGCGAGTTTTAGCAAGGTCATAATTTTCCGAGGCATATCAGTGAGTGCCGATGCCTCAACCTAAAAAGCGTACCTCTTAGGTCAGCATTACAACACTAATGGCAATGCCCAGTAGGCTGTCCAAATGTGATTCAGGCAAACTGGGAATTTTTCTTTACGCAAGCTTTTACGGTATTGATTAAACACTGGGACTTGCACGAATGGGACAGAAAACCGTGTTGAACAAAAGATAAACATCATGTCCTTTGGGTGTATGCTCCAAAGGTCCCGGTTTAACTTGAACGCCGTGCTTGCATATAAAAAACATTTTTAAATTTACTTATCATGTTCAAATAACTTGTGCTTAAAGTGCTTCAAAGTTCTTTAAACGTTGCCCTGGTACAAAAGCACTAAATGTTTTCCTTTTAACTGGTACATTTATTTTCAGAAAAAAATGCATGAAAAGAACTGGTGGAAACTCACATACTGCCTATTTACTTTTGAGTAGTGACCAACTTGTTGTTTAAACTTGAATCATCTGCGAAAAATCAATAATTTCACGCTCCAAAGCTCTCAGAAGCAACAAAATCTGAACTGCTTCCATCATCACTGCTTTTTCGAGGGTGATAATACTGCAATTCGACTTACTTTTGATAAACAACTGCACACATCAAAATTCAAGCTTCCAAGGACCGTGAAATCGACTTCACTGACATTTGGAATTATGCTTGCAGGGAGATTCAACGCAGTCTTGAACAGGGAAAAGTAAAGATATCGAGACACGAAACTCCGGAATCTATCCCTCGGCGTGAAAAGGTGAAATCGCTTATTAATCTCCTTAAATTGGACGCTTTTTCTGAACCCCCTTCATCCACTCACATCAGCCGTCATCAATCAAAATCTTCTAGATCTATTCCTAGAAGGAATCGGGTAAGAAAATCACTAAAAGTAAAATATTCGCGAGATCGCAGAGATATTCGCGAGTTCGCTGCATTGACGGAAACTAGTGGAAAATTGAAAGTTGATCGTCGGCATCAAAAGAACCTTTCAAATATGGAAGAGAATTCTTCGGAGGTGGAAATGCCTCGAAGACGGACTTCAAGACGCTCCAAACCAGTGAAGAGACCTGCAAAACAGCAGCTCCAACAGAACCATAGGTTTCCAAGCAATCGCTCTCAGCCACATGGAGATGAGGCATCATTTACACAGTCTCAAATTCATAATCAAGTTCAAGGGCAGACGGAATTCGACGCCAAATCAAATGACATGGAGCAGAATTTAAGACCTTCACCTGAAGGTACTGAACTGGGTCCTACGGCAACTAACGAAGTTACTGGAAAGACAGAAGAGGACTCATGCCTACAAGGTGAAAAGATTATCATCGCGATTGAAAGAACCGATCAAACAGCTGACCTAAGTCAGTCTGTTGAAGATCTGGATCTCAAAGAATTCAAATCACAGGATGTGGGCGATTTAGTCTGTCAGGATGACCTCGATTTTGTTAGTAGCGGAACAAACATCACTCGAATGCCAACAACTATTGCAGAACTGATATCTCAAAGACGTGGCTTTAAATCGAAAGAAAACTTATTTGCTCAAATGGAATCCTTTAACAAAGCTTTAAAAAAATCCCTTTTAAGTGCTCCATTATCACCACTGATGGCTGATTGTGTGCCTTTGGTTAACTTTACATTACCAAAGTATGAATCGATGAGGTCGATAGAAGTTTTAAAAAACAGAGACGAGAGAAATTATATCTTTACTTCACATTTGATCATCTCGGCGTCAGCTCACGCACTTCCATTACCGAAAATGATTGCTGAATACTTTCCTAGACAGGCTGCATTTTCAGTGATTTTGGAAAGCAGTATAGGGGAGATTTCTGTTGAACGGCAGATGATGAACTGCTCCGAGTTGCAGAGCTGGAGATGGGTGGAAGCGCATCCGGTCAGAAGTCCCCAATACTACCATATCTGCATGTGTGATGATGTGATTGGGGAAGAAGTTTTGGAAGGAGAAACGAAGGTATCTCTCCTTGGTTCTCCGGTTGTTTCAACCAGTCTGATATTTGAATCCAGTCTAGCGAACGGTCTAGACAGCTTCTCCTGCTCGTGTTCATCGTCTGCTCTTACAACGGACTCATCAACAATATCGTCAACGTCGACAACATCCTCAGCAGCCACAAATTTCTGGGTGCTTGTAGAAACTTCTCCACTGCTGGAAACAGAGCCGATTAGTGAGATAGAAGATGTGACAGTACGAAGTACATGCAGCCTGACTAGGACCGAGATTAGGCGAATGAGTATGCGATGGGCTACGGGTAGTTGCTTCCTCTTGAGTGCGTTGTTTGTCGTCAAGTGCTTCTACGCAGAGTTACTGCGTGGGGATTGGCTATCGATTGCAGGTATTGTCTCGGCCCTCTGCACAATTGTCCTCATCTCCCTCAGTCGACAGCCGAGTGCATCTTAGTTTGCAGCTGATTTATACATACATTCCCCTGTCCGACATGTCATCTTCCGTGAGTTAAGGAAAATATTGTTAAAAATAAAATTTTTCCTTTAACGGTAAGGGAAGGTTTTAGGGAATGCACTCTAATATCTGCATAAATTCGCTCAAGCAGTTAGCTTTTTGTGGTAAATAACTGCCAGCAATTAAATAATTTCAATCAAATACTTATATTGGAAGCATTTTAGTCTTTCGGCTAACATAGATTAATGGTGCAAATATTCGTCCCTGAGATCATATCTGCAGTCGTTCATAGTCGATTCATTTAGTAAGCGGTATTCCTTAAGTAATTGTATTTAAAATTCTTGTGCCGTTATAATAATTTACATTAAGCAGCTAGTGAGGGATCGAAAAAAGCTACTACCACTGAACCTCAAAAACCAAGTTAATGCTAGCAGAAGTTGATTCAGCAAGTTACTTTCAGCCCTTTTTAGGAGTAAAGAAAATCTATACTAAATGAGTTAATGTGATATTAATGTTCTTTATTGAGCTCGTCTATCCAACTGTATCCGTAAAAATTCAACCAATTTAAACCTTCACTGGCCCTTACAAAAAAAATGGTACCTAATGGGAATAGAAAATTGATGAGAATCACCTTTATTTGCACAATGCTAAAATCACGCATAAATAATGGTGATACTGCCCCGTCAACCAATGGCATTCAGGCGAATTATGCAAGTGCTCCCAAAATGTCATCTTCAATCGAGGTCTGTGGCAGCGATGTTGTTCGACTTATGGCCGATCTGAAGGATTGGCAAAAGCTCGTAGTTCATCTGGAATGTGTTCTTACTTGGGAAAAACCTCTGGTCCTGTTTTATATCATTCTTATTGTCACCTTGTTTTATGCGCTCCTTTGGACTTTTGAGCCGCCTTTCCTTGTGTCACTCGGCTGTCTTTCACTCTGCTTCAGTCTTTGGTGCTATCTCGGCCCGAAATTGGCACTGAGGTAGGTGATTTGGCCTCACAAATAACTCATTTTTCAGGTTTCTTCCTTCAGTACCGTTGACTGAACACAACCAACGATATCGTGCTTTTTGTCGAAGGATTTTAAATGGACGTCAATTGGTTATTTCGATTCTTTGGCATCTCTCAGACTTGAGGCGGCGCAGACCCTACGTCTATGCCATTGTTTGTCTATGTGGCATAGTGAATCTTGAGATTTTGACTTATGATTACGATGGAATTCTTATCGCATATGTTCTCACCATTATTGGCCTACTTATTCCGGGAATCCGACACACTGGAGTTCTTAGAGTAAGTGAAACCCTGCTTTTCATTATTTTTGTGCTGTATCTACTTGGCAAAAGTAGTTTGATTTTCATCAAATACGAACAGGATCATGGGTTACTGATATTTTCAAGTGTCACTACATTTAATAGAATTCGGCTATCTTTCGTCCTCTGAGTTGTCATAGCTGCTAAGTTTTCGTGCCAAGGGGTCACTTTGTTGATGTTCTGTTTCAGCTGAATAGTTTTTTTTTCGTTTCTTGGAATACTCACGGTGTTAGGAAATGGTTTTTCTTCCGCAAATTCCGCTTTTCCGTTTCGTACAATTTTTCACATTTTCACAGGGCAAATTTCAGCGTTTAATGTAGGAGGTATCGTGCACTGCGACCACTCTTATTACTCCTTCTTTTAGATTATTTATCTATTAGCAAAGAGGCTCCTCAGGTTCATTTGGCGAATCATTTCCCGAGTAATCGGCTTCCTCTACTCCCTGATTCCCTCAACTCAACAGAAAACTGACAAAAAAGACACTGGTGATGTGGCTGTGAACAACTAGCAATGTGTACCTATATTTGTACTTGTCTATCTTTACTTGTAGCCTTCTATCTAAGAACTTTTATGTGTTTTCACTTGCACACTTATTCGGCTAAATTCTTCTTGAAAAGGACTTGGGGTTTTCATACATCGATTTCATGGGTATCTTCTGGGCGTAAGATTTTGTTTAGAAATCCTCGAATTCGTTGGCGAAGGGCGTTTAAATTTTTCTTTTATATTTCTGTTGGGAATAGTGAAGACAAGGGAAGTAGTGATTGTGTTCGAGCGCATCATTTGTCATGCGATGATAGTTTTCATGCAGGTTGTACTTGTAAATGTGTATATCGGGGGCAAAGTTCTCTCCCATGGAGTCGTCTAAGTGACTAAAAGCTAGAAAATGATCGTAGTGGTGTGAAAGATGTAAGGTGCTGGCTACGAACACAGTTAGGAGCAATAAGGAATTATGAAACTGCTTCACTAGTGCGTAAGAGTGGCGTTTGAAGAGGTTTCAGGAAAGCTGGACGTGACTGTCGGGCTTGTTGTTGCTGCCCCTATTCATGGCGACCTTTGCCTCAGTCAAGTATGTAAGTGCCTAGGCAACTGACGGAGGTGCAAAGGTGCAAATGCCTGATCTAATTTCGAAATATTTGTAAACACCGTAAAGGCTTCATTTATTCTGGAGCAAAATTTGGTAATTTTCTCTTGTAAGAAATTTGCATTTAGTGCTTTGGGGTCGTTTAAGCTGGTCTACCCGGAAGCATTGGGGAGTGCTTTACAATAAAATCACAACTAACTGGTTGTTCGGACATAATAGTATTAGTTTCATTCACTAATATAATTTAAACTAATTTTAAGCCCCCTTTATCACAAAAAGCAGGCAAGGTACTACTATTGTTTATCAGCATGGTGTCCTTGGCCAACAATTCAAATAAATAAAATATACATACTCGACATTAGTTATGGACAAGATGCCGGGGGGGGTTACTAGTTATTGTCTGAGTTGGGCAGGATCCGTGTTTAAATGCGTTAGTTTTTCTCAGTGCTCATTAATGCTGTTGCTGGCCCTCAAAATCCGCCGCTCTTGCTGTCCATCTAGATAAATTTCGCAGAAAAATTGCGGTGATCGTACTAGTAAACTTGCTGTCAGGTTTCGAATGCTGTGTCACTCACGTGGTACGAATTGACAAGTTTCGGCGAAGTGGTAATTTTGTTAACAAATTGCTTTCGTGATTTTGGATAGAAATGTTGGGTTCCAATACCCTCTGAATATGCCACCTCTGGCATCGGGGTTTGGATAATGCGTCCAACATCATTGAATTCCGAGGTTGGGGCCATAACCTGAAACAAGACGCGATTCTTGAATCTACCCTACTTAAATAGTTTAAATAGCAGGAATCATTTGACTCACTAGATCGTGGAGGGACTCGAAGCGTATTACGGGAGCGTTATGGTGAGGCGATTGTGGATTATAATAGTACTGAGTGGGCAACTGAGCGACTTCTAGGGGTACCAAGACCGCGGCGGATTTAAATTCGTCACCCACACCCGAACCGCCGTCACTGATTGGCTGCCGAAGAATGCCCGTGGCTAGATCGCCTTCCATGGCAAATCGGCTTCTGGAACGGGCGAAATATTCGTGATTGGTGCTGTTATTGGCGCTGGACGAGGTGGTCATGTGATTATGATGGCCACTATCGGTTACCACGAAGGCATCTGGGGACGGAAGTGTTGTCGATTTTATGGTATCCGCGATGTTTACTCGACCGTTTGAGCCATTGCCTGAGTACTTATTGACGTGATGCCCCGAGGAGCACATAGTCGTCAAGAAGATATGCAAAAGTTGTCGGTTCTCCTGTAAAAGGCGGAAATTACCATGAACTTTTAAATGTGAACTAGTAGTGTGACACTTCTCGGACTTATGGCTGTCTTACAAAACCCATTAGAACTGGTTTTTTTGCTTTTTTCGTATAGTGAAAAAAACAATCAACTTAAAATATAGGAACTGTGAAAAAGGCTCTCAGGCTTAATTACATCTTCGTTGGAAACGCTGAAGACGAGAGAAGAAGTAATTTTGCATTTCTGAGTTTGACAAGTGGCTACTTCTGCCCGGTGGGCCGGCTGCCTTTTCAGTTTGGTGTTTGATTTCATTCCGCAAGGGTAACTTGCAAATCGCGCCGAGGAGGAAGTAACAGTTTTTTGTAATAAGCTAGCTATATCGGAAAAAAGGTGCGTGCGACATATCTGATCCCCAGGGAGATAAATCTGTCTGCTCTAGAGTCGTTGATGAGCAACTTTAGAAGTACGAGTGTTAAAGCACTGATTTGATGAATGAATGAACGAACTTAACAATAATTGAACTGATAGGTGGGAAAAACCTAATAAGGCCTGAAAAAGATCCTGTAGAGCTAGATGTGAGAGTTGTATCTACTTACACCTGGATGAAAGACAGTCCAAGATGCGGCTGTGTGCCAACAACTGCCGGCAGGAGAGCATGGGTAAAAGCAATCACTGCATCGCAGAGACAAAAGATAGTCGTAAAATTTCGACAAATGATTCCCTTTTCGGTGACTCTGTGATCAGATTCGTTTAAACAGAACAAGTCAGTTGATGAATTGACTGCATCCAAGGGGTAGAACTTCCGTAGGCGATTTTCTACTAATGTGTGGATGAATGAGTCAGGTCGTCCAGCGTCGTCAGATATTAATCTTAATTCGATGAATTTAAGGCACCAGGAGGACACACAGGGTTTGAGATGCAAATCAGTTATATTTTCGTGGCTTATGCGATTTCTTCAACCGGCAGACAGGCAGCTGAGGCACACTGAGACGGTACAGTCAGTTTGTTTTCCATTTATCCGTTATAAATATTTCGGGGGATTAGTGTCTAACCTCGATTTAGGCATTAAGAGTAAAACTGTTCAGGCTTTCCTTGCCATTGTAGGATAACTTCTCGGACTTATGGCTGTCTTACAAAACCCATTAGAACTGGTCTTTTTGTAAATGCGCGATGGCATTCATTCATAAATTGGAAAAGAAATGAAATTGGTGATTTTTGTCCACATTTGCTATAAAATCTGCACAAAACTTTCGACAAAATTCTAAAACGTATGCCAAACTTATTTGACGGATCGTCAGATAAGACCACCTTGAGATCCTGAGGCTTCTAAATTGCCCTCGTGTTTGTTTAAAGCAAGTAACTAACCCTTGTCGTAGTTGGGGTCTCAGTGACTCATAGCTGATAGTGTTAAATTTTTTTAAAAACGAAAACATCATGTCTATTTAACTTACACTTGCGACTAAACAAGAAATCCCTGCGGACAGCTGTTCGGGAGTGTAATTTTGTCCAACACTCGGACGGATGGTCTTTTAGGTAATTACAACACCTACGGTTGAGATTGTTGTTAGCACTAGTAATAACCGGTAGTAAAAACCATTAGAATTGCATGAAAGAAGTGGGCGCACTCATGCTCAAATCATATTAGTGACGTAGCAAATGATCAAGGTAAATAGAAGGGCAGTGCTGTTCTCAGCACAGAAAGCGACAATAACCTGTAGAAGAACCCGTCAACACATACTATGAAACGGGGGTTTTCTCCGTTGTACGCTAATACTTACCTGTTATTTTGGTTCCTCGTATCGTAAAGTGGCAGGTGAACCTGATATGGTTTGAGCTTGTCCCCTTTACGAACCTAAAATTGACCCTAGAACTAAAGGATTTTCCCGTATAGTTTGTTGCACAGCCTTTTGGAGAGGTTCATTGGCAGAACGCACCGCCGAGAAGTGGTCTAAGTAAACTAAATTATTCCGGTGATAAACTACTTGCAGATTCATTAGATCTTGGAAGATTCACAGTTCCTCATAATGTGAATTCACATATCGCTACTGTCTAAAACAAACTCGAGAGAGCAGCTTTCAGTAATGATTGCTGCGAGCGGCAGAAGAAGTCATTGGCACTTACATCAATTAGGAAAACCGTGGAAGCTAATCAGGTAGATCCCTCTCACACGTACTCCCGCATGCTAATAGGCTTGCTCTGCACTTATATAAAAATGCACCGCTAATTTGACACTGTCTACTTTCCAACTGACTTGTGACAAGAAATTGCGTTTGCATAGCGCCCTCCGTTGAGCAAATAATGCATCGTTAAAATACCCTCAAAAATCCACTCACCGTCCACCTCATGCTTCCAAAGCACGCACCACTTCATCACCAATGGGCTGCACTTGTGCATGTGTGCGGTGGGCTACGGAAGTGATTTCTCACTATGAATTATTCACTTATAACCAGCCGCTTACGGACGGAGTTTATCCACTCGGTAAAAAGGTCCGGTTCCTTTTCTTACAGGATCACACGTGACCTCGTACCTAACAACCCAGAACTCATCCCTGAGAGTATTTCGTTCCGTATTTTAGTATAAAATGAAATATAGCTTTATCCTCTGTAATTACCCTCACGTCACTCCTCAACTGCAGGTGATTACCAGCTTTCCTTGACATCGTCATTGAACAATCACACACGAAATGGGATAGATGATGGTGAATTAAAAAAGGTAAGCGTAGGTGTAAAGGGTTGGATTACTTGCCTCTAGGGACAAAAAGTTGCATAAAAGTGGACTTCTTAATTATATAGTATCTCATTAAAAGATGATTTTCTGCGGTGGTAATTGTTTTAAGGAGCTTTCCAAATTTATCTCAAGTGGTCTAATTATTAGTGTTTCAGTAAAATGACAGTAGTCTATATTGACGTCTTCTGCCCTTCGAAATTCGGCCATCGCATCTATGGCACTAGAGTTTTGGAGGTAGAGTAGTGCAGAGTGTGGTCACCTACAGTGACGCTGCAAACAAAGCTTACGGGTGAATGAGTTAGTCGGCTATCCCAAAAGGAAAACATCGGTTTTGTATTGTCGAATATTCAGGCTCACAACTGAAATTCCATGGCAAGATTTATATAGAATATTGTCCTGCAAAATCAGTAGAATATGAGCAAAGTCCAAAGTCCTGATACATGCCTATTGCTTCAGGCAGCCGGCAGGAACTCAGATAGATGGATAAGCCGGATCGCTTTGCAACAAAGTCGAAAGAAGTCATCATCTCATGACAAACCACAGAGATCACTTATGCTAGATGTTCGGTTAATTAAGAATATTGTTAAAAGCGATTGATGATACACCCCGGTGGAGGATCATTAAAGTGATTCATCAACACGTGAGCTCCAATGAAGTCTACGAGGAGAACAGTAGTCCTTGGTTTCAAAAGCCGTTTAGTTTTTAATCGTTTTGATGGCTGACACAGAAAATTAGTGGAGGTTCTGTTCTAAAAAGAAACACAGACACTTTCGGTCTCTTTTGATTCATTTTCCACGTTAGTAGTGCAGAGTGCTGACCAACATTGATAAATTATTTATTACGACTACTTGAAAATTAGACCCATATTCTTCTCCATTTTACTCTGTCAGTCTTTTTCAAATTATCATCAAATTGACCTTCATAAGACATTGAAGTTGTGAGTCGTTAACGCTTGACTTCAAAAAATTAAATGACTTTGAGCGTCGCATATTTAAGGTGAAATATCAAAATGCAGTAATACTTGGATTAACCCATCATTGTAAAGCACCAACCCACTGCCCGCTTTCTAATGCGTCTAATGGACACACAAGCAGTTAGCCGACAAAATTGTATCTGCGGTTGCTCGTAACATACGCATGATCTACCAGCTACACTAAGTCCTCATTGCCACACCGCACAAAGCACTTTGTTCAGACATCGACAAACAGGACACCTTTATCAACCGTGTGGACATTGCATTGCCAAGGTCACTGGGAGAACGTGCATGAATCATTAGTCTGTCAGTCAGCAGTCGGTCGGTCACCCACTCAGTCCGTGAAATGGGTGTGTGCATGCACGTGTTCACCGTAGTGTCCGTTGCAATTGAGGCCATTTATCGACTCCCAAAAATCCGTAATTAGGCATGTTATGTCCAATTTCTCCAAATCAGAAAATCAAAAACGAAACTAAATAAAACACAGAGTAAAATTAGCAAGTACAAAAAGGGTAATAAAGATTAAAAATCTGAAAATCTCAGATGAACAGTAAGGATGGCGAAAACGGGTGAATAAAAAAATGGATGGATGGATGGATGGATTGATCGATTCGGGATGGACAAAGGGTAGCCGGTTGCTCAATCTGTGACGAATTAAGTGAACCCAAGTCTTTAATCTAACTAGGTTTGGGATTACTGAATAAATAGACTGAGGAAACTGTTTTTCCAAACCCCATTCTGCCCTTATTTTCTCATATGCTTGATGTTTTTTTCGTCTAGCATGCATAAGCAACTGGACACCTTTCTGAAGTATCCTCCTGTCAGTACATCAGTGCCTATTGCCGCCTACGTGTTTTGTACTTTAATATTCTCGCCTTTATCTGATAATAGCAGCAACATATTATTGCGCCTCTTTTGACCTTTTCAGGAGGTTTAATGAACTGTCAAAAAGTGATTGGTTGCATGGCTAACATATCAAAAAACTTATTAGTTGAGTAGAAAGGCCACTAATTATTTTTCCCTAACATACAATTAACTCAAAGGACTTTTTTAAATCCAAAATCCATTTTAGTTGTAATGATGCTAATTCTGACAAGTTTGCTACCAGGATATCAGTGAAAATGTTGACAACCACATACCTGATGTTGCATTGTTTTAAATTAGCACTAATTATCAGTAAATTTTCTTATCAATTCAATTGCTGGTCAGGAATTTAAAAGAAAGTAACTGCAACCATCCTTAGGCCAAAAGAATATCCTTAATCTCTTTTGCTGTTTTAAACTCAACCAATCTGTTTGCAGCACACCAGCAGTTTTCGTAAACTGATACAAAATGCCCGTCCCATATTTATGACGTTAGGCGCCAATAAAAACGTCGATGCCCCACACATATTCGATGCCGATGAAAAATTGTGAACTTTTTCAGCTCTCAGTTATTCGGTTTCACGACGGAGGTGTGAATCTCTGATATTGGTCTCGAAGATCCTCGGTAAGGCGACAATAAAGCTACTTCTGCATTTATGGGCTCAAAGTAGTCTTTAGTGATAAATCTGTCGTTGCATTGACGCCAACGCGATGATATCCTCTGGGAGCAAGGAGGATAGAACGCTTTACTAAGGCTTCAAAAAAGAGTTACGCAGATATAAACCGTCAGGTTACTTTCTAAGCAGAGATCAGTCAGCCGGCAGGTAAAGAGCGAAGAATGAATTCATGATCTTTCAAGTGTTTTGCGAATGAGACCCTCTTGTTTGGTAGTTTTCACGACTCGCCTACCTTGTCCAGGAGTCAAAGAATTTCATTTCAACTTGGAATCTTAGCATACCAGTTTCTAATTCAAGCACTCCTTTCAACTTGATCCAAGATGGTGGAATTTTGCAAATACGATGCCTCTTTCAGTGACTCAGCATCAGAGCCCAGTGGTTTGCTGTAACCATTTCTAAGTGGTGCACGTTCTGCACCCACATCTTCTCGAAATACCAAATAATGAATCTTTCTGGAGAAGTCCCACACCTCTAGAGCCGAGGCTAAATTCATAAAGCACATAGACTCACACTTTATCAAGTTTAACAAGATCCAGAGTGATAAGAAAATTGTACGGAGTAGAAGAAAGACTACAGATTGACCAGCGCACATGTATTTATGACAAAACACGGACAACCTAGAGGGACAGTTAAAGTTAAAATCGTAGTCGAGTACAAGAAATGAATTCATCTTATTAAATTAATCGGTTTTGCTCTGAAGTAAATATTTTTACAAGATCAAAACTTATGAAATTAACAGAAGAGTCCCATCCAATTTGTTAAAATCGCTATTTTCAATAAAGGAGTATCATAAAAAATGTTATTTGCACTGCTTAAAAGGGAGGCATTTTTCGACATAAAGGTGGGATGTTTATGTTTGGTTATTCTTGGGGTATCCCTATATCTCACCGCCACCATTAATTAACCTGAAATGTTTGTGTTTGGCTACGGATATTACTTACTTAAAAGGAATAGTAATTTGTTAAGGGTTATTCAATTTCGTTTTTTTTATTTAACAAAATTAATATTGACCAATGCTTACGTCGTCGATAACGGCGACCAAGAGGAACATGAAGACAGCTGTCAGCGCGATTCCCATCGGTAGGATTAGCAACATAAAGACTGGACTGATGATCTGAATGTAGATGAGCATGTAGGGTATGCCAAGGGTGAGCATTAGCTGGGCAAGGACCAGAAGGTGTCTAAAGAGGAAGGAATTCCAGTCATCTTGACGTCCCCTACATCTTTGTATGCCTTAGTGGAATAACTCATCCCGTTTGCTATCGTTCAGGTGTTCACAAATTCGCGCATAGAGATGCCTTGATTTATTCATTCTTCGTCTCTTTCAACTGGGTCACAGTTAAAATATGATTGCTTTATCTAAACCAGCGGAACTGTGCCATTAAGTTCGATTTAAGTAACCTAGGGAGTCGACCCTATAATACCTGAATCTTGGCAAATTTGAGCGTTTATTGCAAAAACTAGTGCTCAATTACTTCAGAGATGAGGTAGATGAGGTAAATTGTCCCCTTGCGAATTCGGCAGATCCCTTCCCTTACGATTTTAATTTCATAGTTATAACTCACGTAGATTTATTGACTCGACTCCTTCGAATAGCTAGGTAGTTACGAAGGACAACGAAGCCAACAGTAATAAGGACCAAAAGGTTGAAGAGCACCACAGCTGTAATGGGAGCGAGAAGGGGCCATCGGTAACCCAGCAAGTCTGGTCCAATACACCTAGATGCAGAAAGAGAAATTTTAGACAAAGAAATCAATCTGAGGCTGCTACAAACTTCAAAAATGTGAAAGAATAAACGCATAAATGGCATAGATGAAGAAATGAATAAGTCGACTAAGGGAACCAAAATTGACGTGTGGATAGATGTGTGCATCTATGTACGTCTGCATGGTTGATGGACGGATGGGTACTGAATGGAAGGGTGGATGAATAAGGGATGGCTATGAAATGGGTGCATGGATGGACGGACGCATGGATAAACAGGTAGATCCACGACAAGCAAACGAAAACATTTTTTAATGCTTATGGATTAATTAATTATTGCATGAGTTGGCAAAGTAAAGAATTTACTGCCAGAAGGCGTGTGTGTGTGATTGTGAATAGTTCCATACATGTGTAAAGGATTAGGACCCTAACTTACATACTGTGTGAGTAAACGCGGAAACGATCAAATGAAGGGATAAATTGAGATTTTTTTAATCAAATGAGAACGTAAGAGAGCTGGTCTGTTAACGAGCAATTCAATGACCTAGAAGAATAGAGTTAATATCCACAGTCCGCAATTACTTTAATGAGGGAATCGTTTAGAGAGCTATGAATTATGCCAGAAAGAGATTCGGTAACTGGTTGGCTGCGTAAATGAGTTAGTAAATCCAAAAGTTAATATGTAAGAGAGTGACCTATTCAATCTGTAAATGAACAAATGAACTATCCACTTAATTGGTAATTTAGCCCATAAGTTAGTTTTCCTATAATTCTTTGAGTGGGTTATTAATTTACTTGTTATGCAGATAACTCGGCCGTTGAACCCATAGGTTATTCAGCGATTGAGGCACTCAACCAGTTATTCTTAACCGATTGAGTCTATAAAAGAGTGATTAAACGGATAAAGGAGGCAGTTTTATGAGTCCCCGAAAGACTATGCAAGCAAAGGAGTAAGTGAATAAATCAACTAGTTGGTTAGTTATATAATGAATAAGTCGGGCAGGTGGGAGAGTAATTGAGAGAACCAGTGATCTAGTAAGTTAGTAGGTATGTAATCGGGTATGCTCGTGAATTTGTCATTTGTTGAGTTATTGCTGACAAAGCAAATGAGTTTGGTAAGCGAGAACGTGGATCATTTAGTTATTCTGAGGGTCAATGAATGAGAGCGGATCAACTAATTAGTATTTTGGTCATTAAAATAGTACTCGGTTGTGTAATGCATTTCAGTGCATGACTGGATGAGGGGAAGAATTAGTGATTGGATCAGTGAGTAATTGAGTCTAAGGGTAGATTCCTAAACAGTTGGTTAGTTAGTAAAGAAACTTGATACCTATTTTTTAAACCATCAAACAAGATAATGAGGGCTTGAGTGAGTGAACCGACTAGCTCGTGAGTTAAGGGGATAACAAATGGTTGAGCTACTTAGACGGTCAACGAGGAAGGGAGTAAAAGGAGGATGGGTGTTAACAGCTAGGTTTAGGATAAATTAATATGGTATGGATGGAGGCATCTATTGACGATAGGGTACACCAATGATTCTTCAAAATAGAATAAAAGATGGCCAAATCCGAGGTCAAAGGATAGATAGATAAGCGGGTTGAAGTCGATTGAAACAAGAATAGATGACTCCAAAAACAGACTGATGTATAGATTCCTGGAAAAATGATAGGGCTAAGGTAGATGAAGAAATTTCAGGACTCATTGATTGGGCAATAAACAGATGCATCTCATTTATAAATGCACCCTCGATGGAGGCGTGAATTCCAAATGAATGGGAAAACCGGAAATGCACGAATAATTTTTAAAGCTTTCCCATAATAGACTAGTAATCGAGTAATTGGGTAAAAAGGATTCTTTAATGAACAAATGATGCAGTCTGGACGAATAAATAGTTCTAAGCTAAATGACTAGATGAGTGAATGAGGACGTGAGGAGAGGGATAAATCAGTAAGTTAAGTAATTTTTTGTGTAAGTGGCTGAGTGACATCTAAATTAATTAGTGGGGTAAATGAGTAATCAAATGAACTTGTTTTTGAATAACTTAGCGACCTAATAATTTAATGACAGCCAAAAAAACTCACAACCCCAGACCCGATTTAAACTGACGAGCCATGCCGAACCAGAGTCCGACTATTAATGCAGGTCCAATGTAGGCGCAGATGGTGACAGGGATGTAGACAATTCGGAGGGCAAAAATACCGTTGAAGTCGGTATGGGGCGCAACTCTGAAAAAGTAAACTCGCGTTTTCGTCAAAGTTACAAAAGACAGTTTCATTATAATTTGCGTTAAAATTCCTTTCACTACCTTCCGAGCACTGATCTGAGCAACAAATGCCGAATTGTTGACGAAAAATTAAAGACCAGGAAAAGTGGAACATTTGGGTCATAAAAATAATTGATAATTAAACGCAAATTTTCTAGTCTTAACCAAGAAATAGCAGACTTCGGAAATGAGGTTCGTGAATAGGCGATAGTGAGTGGATCCCCCGTATTCGGCGAGGTATACTAGTATCTAGGAGATCGTGGCATAATCTTCATTCCAGCCACATTCAATTCTTGTGCAATCTCACGAGAGATCAAGCGATAACAAGTTTTCCAAGAAGTAGCATTCCTCGCGCTAAATACAGGTTGACAGGAATAGCTGCTGTGATGATGAGTTGGGAAACACTACGGTAGGGATCATCACTGTCAGGTCTTCATTAACAGGCGTCATTAAAACGTTAATATTAATCAAATGTCTTACTGCTAAGCGATTTCGAGGCTCGCCACTGTGTTACGCCTGGAGTCTTCTTTATCAGATAATTGTTCATCTTATTCACAAGGAACGTAGCAAGCTGTAAGCTGTTTCATTAAACATACTGCATCTACTGCTCCCTACCCTGAACTGGCTGGAGCGAGATGTTTGTTAGGTATTAATCATAGACGACGTTTGATGTTAGTGTTGCCACAGTAGCATCTACCGTTTACACGTGCCTTCAAAATTAAAAGTATTAATTGGACCTGAACTTCGTTGCTGTTTGTATAATGGGAGCTATCTCTATTCCTGTGTGGAAGTGGTACATTTCCCCCTCCGATGTTCCAAAAAAGCACTCCTGAATTGGTCCGGAAGTACGATCCCTTTCAACTCAAAAAGCCATTTATTTAATAATCTGATATTTGACCACAAGAAAGTATGATAATAAGTTGATTCTTCTTGCAGCCTTCCAAAATATTCTTAAAAGAGGAAAAACACCTCAAAATCGTGTTGACAGCTGACACACCAGGTGTGTCTTTTTGCAAATAACATGAGCCAACACATAAATTACGGTTTACGCATGTGCTTATGGGAGTGGCAATAAGTGCCTTTTCGCTAATCAAGGCAGCAAAGTGTATCAGGAAATGTTGTATTCTATGCTACTGATTGCTGAACAACAAATTACGTAGTATTGATGATTTGTGAAAAAAATTATAGCACATAAGCAGAAGTAACCCCAAAATCCTCACCGCTATTACGTAATATCTCTCAAATCTTGCTCAGTTTCACGTTTACGCAGCTTTTTGCCTCTTTAAGTGAAAAAGGCATAGGGTTTATTTTTTAAATTAAGGATTTTACGTACCCTATCTACTTCTTAACCTGGTAACAACCATAAATCTTTCTTCACTCTACTCTCTCATCTGTCGTGTAAGATAAAGTACATTCTCTGATTTATAGCCTGTATATTTTGGCAGTAATTGGAATCTCCGATTTAGTCACTTGCAAAACTGGGAGGGTAGGGTTTGGTCGAGATGATAAAAGCTAATCTAATATAATTTACCTAGCAAACGAGTTTTTAAACTTTCGTACACCTAGTGGAATCATCCATCCCTAGATGCATGCATATACACGGGTCTTTGGCAATTCGTTGGACTAAATTGTATGTCACAGATTGGTTGAGGTTAAAGCCGGTTAAGGTGGATGTGTGGATTTTTTTCGGTCTGAGGATGATAACATTTTTGGTGCTTGTAGAAGCAGAACTTTAAATAGAACGCATTCTTTGTAGACTGTGTGAGTTGAATTCTAGGATATTGGCTATAAACGCGATTAAGATAGATATTAAACTACGGAAAATTCTAAACTTCCAAAAGATTTCTCTACAATTTGCTTATTTTGTCAATCAGCAAGAACGTACGCTTGAAAAATAAAAAGTAGCAAATTTGGTAGCTCAAATGTTACTTTTTTAAAAAGAAAAGCAAATTAGTAACTTAAAATAACTTAGTTGATTTTAATGTAATAATAAGACATGGGCTCTCCGTTCAAAGAATTTCTTATTTTCTAGTCTCTAATAAGAAAAAGTGTTGATCATCGAGGGAGAAACTAACAGGAGACTTTTAATAGGAGGGGAGACCAAGTCTTGAGAAGACAATTTATCCTCCGACGTTTGCCACTTTTGTCATCTACCTTCGCCATTATTGCAGGAATAATGATCGCCCTTTCAAGTTGACGCGGCTAATTCACTTGGTCCCAGCTGGGTGCTTCCTTCAGGTACAATCTCCTTTGCTCACTCAAACCATCTACCACTAAGATCGCAGTTTTGACCTTCTGCATTTTATCCAAAAGCTCGATTGACAGTGAGTCGAGCCAGTCGGAAAAGCTTATTTCATCGAAGCTCCGAGGTGCTGTCGACTCTGTCACCACTAATTAACTTTACACTAAAAATATCCAAGACGCTTCACAATCAGCCGCTTAAAAGACAGGGACAAAGACTTTATGACTTACTTTCTGATTTAATTTGTCAACAATTATACTACTGTAAAAACGAAATTAGTAAATGTGAGTGCGGAAGACAGGTTAAACCCGTTCAAAGTCCATCTGATTCATTTTATTGGGTCGGTTGCTCTCAATTTAAGCCAAAAACAGCAAGAAATGGGTTTAATTACTAATAGACGTCATATGTGGTTTTCGCCTGTAAAATCAAGTGCGTCCAAGTGGAGATAAATGATCTAACTTTATTGTAACTGCCAGGTTGAGAGCCTCTGATCTGCTCTAAATTAACAAAAAGCAGCAGCCGAAGGGAAGTTACTAGGATTATCTACAATCTCAGAAGAGGGTTTCAATTTTTTGCCTTCCAGAAGTTTCTATTTAAAAGATAAGGTTTCAAGTATTCTATCACATTCCTCAATTTGTACCCTAGTTGAGCTCGTCCTAGTGACCAATATCAACGCAATGTTAATCAAAACAAGGCCAAGGTCATTCGAAATGATATAACTATATGAAAGTTTTGAGCATGGCGGCAATAGAGCAGACCAGCCAGGAGGCGGATGCGCACACTTCGAATCCTTAGTGTAGCCGCATTATCAGGTACAACGGTCTTGGTTTTTGAAATCGGTTAACCTGGTCATTCTAGTTGAAATCACGATGGTGCCCGTGATAAAACTCATACATAACAGCATAAAAAGGCAAATCGTAGGAAAGCAAGCAAATTGATTCGTGTGGATTGGGAACCGTCATATCAGCTAAAAGGTGGCCTGACAAAGTGAAGGATAGGAAAACAATTAACACTCGACTAAGAAGAACATCTAATGGTTTGTCATGTATTTAATAGGCAAATGCAGTTTGATTGGGATCAGAAAGACGTATTGCCTGGTGTTGAAACAGTAGATCCACTTTGTGGAAGACATTATTAAGTACAAAGACTAACCCATGAATCGTAGGCAAAAGAAGCTTCGCTAACTATAAGGCCTTTGATTTGATAGGAATTCATGGAAGATAAATAACTCGAGGAAGAGATATCCAAATGGGAAGAAATCCGAAGACATGAGTGGAGCCAATAATAAAAAACCATGTTAGAAGATTTACAGCCTCAGATGTGCTTGAGGTATATCTAAAAGGAACTCACATCATTAAAAGAGCATTTAAGCCAAAGACGAACTTCCAAGCGAAGGCACATAGAGGAAAGTAGTTGACAAGGACAGCGATGACAGCACAGAGGAATTCAAAGTCCTCCGGCACGTGGGGAATGAAGAGGGAGACCAGGGTGCCCAGTAGTAGAGACAAGGCAATATGAAACTGGTCCAGGCGAAATACGCCCCTAAATAATACACAAAACAGTGCGTCGATTTATTTAATTGTTCATATAATAATTAATTTAGATAATAAAAAAAGTTAGGCACAACACGTTCGTTGAACAGAGGAAATAGTTAGACTGTTTTGAAATAAACATGTATGTTAGAGGTAATCGAGCAATCTGAGATCCTTTTACAGATTCATAAGCGCTGACCCAGACACGATTAAAGGGTCTGACCTCTTCTCATTACTATTGCCATCGGTCACTGAGTGCCTTAAATGTCAGCAGGTTACTTGTGTTCAAGGCACTAAAAAATTCTCTAATCCTGAAAAATGTTTTTAAATAAAGCAAAAAATTTTTGTTAATGGATTTGACATTACCATACTAATTGAATATTTCAAAGTCAACTCGGGGTAACACTTCAGTAGAAAATGTATAAATAAGGAAATAATTGTCTAATTCAAGACCAAAAAAAGTTGCTTTACGTGTTTCATTAAGACTCGACATGGCCCTGGACTGTATATTCAAAAAATTTCACCATCCCGTTGCTCCATAGCTCACCAAATGTGAACTATAATGCTAACTCTCTTGGAAGATCAAATAGTTTTCTATTTCGTTTGTTTTCAGATAGGCGACACCCACTCAAAGTCGATGGCACTACCTGTTCCCTCTGCCTTGAGGCACTTCACATGACTTGAATTTCAAAATTTTTACTATTTCTTTAAATGAAAGGCTATTCGGTTTTTCAGACAGACGTAGTCTACCACAAGACTGGGTACTACGTAATATTCCATTGATAAATACTGTAGATAAGACGAGTAGGTTTGACACGCTAATAAGCTTTATTATTATTTAAACTATCCTAAGTTAAAGTGTTGTAATAAAACTGTCTAGCGTGATGGCTAATGGACTCTGAAAAGAGATTCACGCCAAACGTTGGAGCAAAAAACAGTCCAATGCTTTCCAAACTGTAAAAAATGCGTTCATTTATTAAGTGACTAGATCCAATATACTTTTTTCCTTAAGGGCGAACAAAAAATGCATTTCTTGGTTAAGCGTCTCCCAACTTCTGATAAAATATGCGGTGATGCATGACAGCTGTCATCCCTTTCTTCCTTTGATAGTTAGTGGATTCTGCTGCTACTTGTTTGCAACAGGTGAAAGTTGGGCTTATTTTGTTTGGAATAACTACCTCAGGGTTCTTTTGTGTATGTTCATTCGAGGATACTTACACAAATCGGGTGAAGAAGAGGAACAAGGAGAGCGCAATCACCGTGATGACTGAACTGACGTAGTTCACGATCGTTATTGATGGTCCATAGTTTTTCAAATTCTGAAAAGAAAGTGCAGAGGAATAAATCAAAAGGACATGATAACACCCAATAGATCCAACCTGGAGGTGATGAATTCAGACACTACCTGACTTTAACAAGGAGGAGAGGGAACAAAGTGGAATTTTCTTTTATACAATAAATCGCCTAGATTTAAAATAAGTTTTTTATTGGGCAAAACTTTTGAACAAAAATTTTTCTAACTTTTATAATCATCATCTCAAAATCATGCCGAAAAACTATTATTAGAGACCTCCTCCTGACCCCTGACCCCGAAATTGATTGGCTATTGAAGGGAGAATTAGGAAATGAAGTCCTCAATAAGGCCAAAAACGATACGATGTTTCCATGTCCCGACTTGGTGTCCCTTTACAAGGTACCCACCATGACTCATTCAAACATGGAAAATGTTACCCATTTAGCCAAAAAGGAATTCTGTTCGGGTTGCTAGTATGGAAGGTATGATAAGTAAACGATTGCAGGCATTTTACCGATTTAACTTAAATAACTTTGTCATAATTTCTACCACTCACGTAAAGAAAGTCAGAAGATTTTCTTCTACTTTTTAGAGCTACTAAATTGAAAGGAGATGTGGGCGCCCATCAATAATCATTTACTCCTAAGAAACACGGAGATTTTGGACGTCGAAGATACGGTAACACATGTGTTCGAGGTCGTAAATATTATGTGCCTGCATGCATAATTTGCGACTTTGAAAACGCCACCGAGGTGACTCAGCTAGACAGGGAGGGGAAAGAAGAAAAGTTATTTTATTAATTGAATCTCGTTCTGCTTTTCGCTTTTCACACAAGAAGACGTACAATTTTGTTTTGATTAAAATAATATTTTCAACTTCTGTCTGCAATTTGGAACATAGGATGCCCATGGGTGGTACCTGCCTATTTTGGTGCTCCACAATTTTAAGATAAAGGTGGGTGAAACGTCAAAACTGGGGTTTTGCATTATTGATGGCAATTATACCTGCAGGGTGTTAATCAAATTATTCAAAAGGGGACTAGAGATTTGGGACTTAATTAGATTTCAAGCTTTGATTGGTTTTTTTCGTACCGTCCCGCCCAATTGCTAATTACTGACCTTCCAAAGGGAGTAAACAATCTAAGCCAATCAAAACCTGGTTCTATGATCACTAAAAATGACTGCCCAATCATATTTTTCCTTGATATCGATCTTTACTCCGCATCTCATGTCATACGTCTGAGTGCGATCAATTCACATCTAACCCAACCCTACTATGTGATGACTCACCAAGGAGCAGACAGTTGTGTTTCTAGGTCACATCGATTCTAGTTTTGCATCTTAATGATTAGTATTTAGCAAACAGCCATTCACAGGCCTACCTATTATGGATCCACATTCAACTTTTCGTGTCCAATCAAATTCCACTCAATTAATGACTAGTTAATGGTTATCCAATCAAACTTTCCACTATTTTTGATCTTTAAGGTGATATATTTGTGCCTCACATTTCCACATTTTTAAAAATGGAAACGCATAGTAACCGTTAAACAAAGCGGAATGGCAGTTTAAGTCGGTTGTTGTAAATGATGCAGCAGAGACAAGGTTATTGCTATCATAAATGAGGTAAAAGTTAGGCTATGTCATAAGACTTCCTCTCCATTTACACGGTCCAACCGTCATAAAGATACGTCCAACACCCTGGAGCCTGTTGCTAAGTCGGCCAGTCAGTCATTCAGCAAATGCGTCTTTTCAGGTCTGACCCCGTAACGTCGTAGTGGCATCACCAGCCTAGACACTCGCCCGGTCGACTCCGCGATACAGAGCAGATTATGTCTAACATTCTACTGCTAATTAATAGTTTCAATTTGGGAATTAAATTTGCCCAGTAATTTGATGTTTGTTGAGCTCCTTTTGTCCGTAATTAATAGGATAATAAATACTGAGGGATGAAGCAATGAAAGGGTAATCGCATGTCTTGTACTCTTGTCCCGAATTCGCGTCAAATTATACTTAAAATAACTTAAATATAAGGATAGAGGAAAGCATGGCACAATTTCATTTTGAAATGAAAAGGAATGGAGAACTTTCAAGTTCAACAAAAGGACGTAATAGGTCGCTTTTTGGCGGAATAAAGAAGGTAGTGTGATCGAATTCCCAATTGGTCCATATTTAAAACCATAAAATTACTGATCTTGGATAAATTTGACTGAAATAAAAGGAATCTATTAACTCTGGAGTTGTTCATCGCGAGAGAATTGGACCCAACTCGTGACTGTGAGGCCTTCATCGACTTTTAATGAGGAGATAACCCCTGCTTCCTCATTGATATAGCTCCACATTCCAACAATACATAGTGCCTTTCATAAAACAATCTTCGCGATACACGAATCTTAAATCGGTGGGAGAAGGGGAAAGGCGATGAAAGTGTTACGCCACAACTACCATTTCCTATCCTAAGTATTTGTTAGGGTCAAAAAAAGTTTATTCAACATTTGAAACAAGTGGTTTTTAGAGAACTCCACAACATTGGCTGAGGCAACATCGAAACCGGCGAATTTAAATCTCTCCTCCCGAACTGATGCAGAATTTGCTTCAAAAGAAGATTCATTTTTAGCCAAGTTTTTCAGATTTGTTTTAGGGAACCCCACAAAGAGGCTTTTTTGATGAATTCCAGGCGAAAAGTGCTTAAACTTTTGGAGAATTGAAAAAAGATAGGAGTACGAAGAGGGGTCCGCTGTACCTGCACCGATCTATACTCACTTACAATTTCACCCAGTCATTTTTTGGTAGCTAGGTCTAACAGTTTACAGGATGTCGAAATTTTGATAATCCGAATGTATAAAAGCGTCCTACTGAGTTAAAAAGTTTTAAAGACTAAAAAAATGCTATATCTAATATTGAACTGCCGAAATAAAACTTGCAACAGACAGGAAATAAAGATTGATATTTAGTCAAGTCACTTTTTTCCCTATTTCCCTTCGAAAAGTCCACAAACATCTACAAATTCTTTCAAACTACAAGTCACTTTAAAAAGTGATAAATCATTTTGGGAGTTTTATATCAAGGAAATCAGTCTAAAATTGTCAAAAAGAAAAGAAAACCAAAATTTTTCCTAATTACCTCGTTTCTGATTGAAGAATTTTTCGCACACTCTATTTTGTGGGATAAAAATTCGCGCGCCCCTCAAGAAAAATTTTTTACATCGGTTTGTTCAAAAATTGTTGAAAAAAAGGAGTGACTTTTTTGCGAACCAGAGTCAAATATCTACTTCTGGAAATTTAGAGAAGAGACACGAAGACTGGTTCGTACAATCACAAACGAGAGATTTCTAAATCTTCGGAGTGTTTTTTCTAGAAAAAAAGACAGCCAGTGTTTAACAAGAGGAAATATGACGTTTTATAAAGGAATAGAATCCTTGCACAAGCATTAGCCCATAAACTTTCGTTCTTTTTCACAGAAACACAAAAAAATGTGTAAATTCGACCTAAGAATCTGAACGAAGTAGAACCTTCGCCGTGTCTAACACATAATTGTTGTCGTCGCACGACTTAGCCTGGATCCACCAAGTAGTGGGCTTGTCATGTCACCATCTTCGCCTTCTGACAACGAAGTGGTGTAACGCAATAGGGGGGTTTTCGGCGAAGGATCGCATTGCAAGGTTAGCCAGTTTTTCTCAAAAAAATGACCTAGGCAAACGGAAGTCGACGCTTTATCGCCAGGGGAAGGGGAATGAAGTTGCTAATCATGGAGACGACAGTAACAAGGTGAAGTAGAACAATAATGAAGGCGGAAGTGCAGACCGCGAATTTGGTGGAGGATTTGTCGGGTATTGTCTTTTTGTTGAAGACAATGGTGTTTATAGATAGGGAACAAATAAATAGAAAAGATTTTCTGTTGTTAGTCATCGGAGCATGGATCGCATCAATTGAGACTGATGTGCTAGCATATTTTTTTCTGCCAGGTTCCTCTTAAAAATTTTAAGTAAAGTGTAAAAACTTTTCTATAAGATTCCTCATATGAATGAAATTTATGGATTCATACAGGAACGACATGTCTTTAGGTTGTATACTTGTCTACGTAGGTGCTTTAGCCTCCGCTACTCCAACATTGACGATCAGCAATCCGTTTAACCAGTTTACTATCAAGCATATGCCAATTCGGACTATTTTACAACGCTCTTAGGGAGAATTTCAGGGTTGGATTGTTATTAGAGTTAAAAAATCTGACACAAATTAACAGCAACTGTAATTATCTACTGTTTAAATCTTCAGAGATCAGTATCACAAGGAATTAGAGAGCCTTGTTAACTTGCTGTAATCACCATGGTGCCGTGGTCCGAACTGTGGCCATTAAAGGCTAAAGCAACACTATTTTTAAGTACTTTTTGTGGCATTTATGGAGCTGTAAAGAAACGCACTTTTTTCATGTTTCAAGAAGGTGAGGATAATTGACGATGATGGCTGAGGAGCAATAAAATAGATATAAGGTGACAGGAATGAAAGCATGCGAAATACTACATCTAGGAAGACAAATCAGAGCTCGGTGTCGAATATCGGTCCTCCTTGAGTGGTACCGACTAATCCAATCTTCATTGAGATTGATAAGATGCGTTACTGGTGATGTCGTCTCACCTCGGCGAAAAAATAAGTCATGATCTTCATTGCTGACTAGTCAGAGATTTTGGAATGCCAGTTCGAGGTTTCCAGGGCTAAGGATAGTATCCAAAAGATAAGGTAATATTATTCATGAGAACTCTTCAGCCAACACATCAACGCCATGAATTTCTCCCTCTCTGTCAATTCTGTCAATGGATCGTTAACTCTTCCAAACGCCCATAATGGAGATGCCTCTTGGCTCATTCACTTAGCAATTCTTGCAAAATAGATTCAAGAGCCTCTTTATCTCCTTGAATTTAACTATTTAATTTCAGGTAACATCACTATGGAATGCTGCCGATCATTAATTAACAAAAATGGCAAAAACTACAAAATGAATTCCCGGAAATTTTTTTTTTAAAATTATTGTAAACGTTAACAGTGTGTGATGTTCAAACGGAAAGAGAAGGGCAATCATATGGGTGCAGTTACTGATTGATTGTTTAAAGGCAAAAAATTTATTAAAATCTTACATGCAATGGCCCTTATATAAACGCGAATTTTCAAAATTAATTAGGAAAACTCTTGCTAACTAAATAAGTTCGTTTGATATGTATGACGGAAAAAATAAAGTAGCAATCAGGCATTGCCAACGGAACACCAACTCTTCTACGATTATTCAGTTGTATATATCTTGGCTCTGGAAATAAACAAGCTAATCCGCAGATCCTCTGTTTCTATTTTCTTTTTATTTTCCAACTCTCTGGACCGCCTTACATGGCTAGTTAAAAAGTATGTCAATGCTCGACTGCTGTGAGCAATTCCTCCATCTCATCTCATCCTTAAGTACATAATGAGACCTTCTCAGGGGTGAGTCTTAGGTTATGAGTTATGAGATTTTGAGCTATCTTGTAAAGACCAAGACTTTTCTCAGACGGCCAATTCGGAGGAAGTTGTATCCATCTTTTGGTTGTATCGTATCAGGTGAATGTATCTCAGCCGTAATTATTTGGATTTTATCAGGTGAACAATTCTTAGTCAACAATTTTATCGCCAGACATAGTCATCTGGTAGTGAAGTAGTATGAATTGCCTTGGAAGCGGGAATAGGTGGATCGTGGAGCAAAAACCAATGGTAATGTTCGTTTTTTTCTTAGAAAATATTGGAGCTCGAAGGAAACTTGTCAGCACAGCTCAGTCAGTCAGTCAACTTGCAAACGATCAAAGATGCACCACCCACTTGATGAGATGAAGTGAAGAACAAATTCATGGAGTCCCAGGTTCGTTGTCCATCATCTGCCATTTTATGGCATGTAGATGCAACCCTGGTGCTTGGTACTCTCCACAACCCTTCCATTTTGTGTAAATCTCAAAGAATCACCTTAAGACTCGCATTTTTGACACATCGATCTCCAATTAAGGCAATCCTCCAACCTTGATCAAGAATGGAGTATCTTTCTGATTGTGATGCCTCTTCCAGTGATTCATCTTCAGTGTTGTAATCAAATACAAAAAAACATTTTTTTGAGGAAGTTTCCATGACTCTGAAAGTGAGCTCAATTTCGTAAAGCAAGTACGCTTACACATCATATTGTAAAAAGAGAATTCAAAGTTCTGAAGCAATTGTACAGAGTAAAATACCGAGATACTGACCCCAAATATTTGCAAGTCAATTGAACAGGCTATATCAAAAGTCGTACAAATTTTTCTGCCACTTGATTTGGTCTTTAATAGGCTTTTTAGGGTAAATAGTTAAAATTCTTCCATCCCTTTTACAAATTATTACAAAATGTGCAGAAATGTTGTTGTCACTTTCACTGTCAGGACGATATGGCACCACTAAGGGGATAGGACCGAAAATAAGGGAAAATTATGCCATTTATAATTTTGCAATGACACTAACCTTTAGATCCTTACTACTCATTATGTAAACCAATCCAACCGCAAAGGTTCCCGACCTCGAGGGGGTACATCGACATTCGTAGTACTTCCCATCGATCCAGTAAGTTTGGCAGGTCTGGGACTCGAAGGCGTTCCTATTTATAACCGAAAAATGGAACAATTAAGGGCAGATTTCAAAGGGTCCACATTTAAATATATATCAGTGTATATCCATCCTTCTTATTACAGTAACCTTTGTACCCAAAAACAGAAAAAATATCCTAATTCTACATTATCTAACGGGGTACGCCAGAAAAGGCGATTTCTGAACATTTAGCATAGGTGAGATTTTTGTAATGCTTTAGCAGACAGGATAGCGTTCCTGTTTTTTTTTCGGAGTAAGTGGAATTGGTTAAGATTTGCTATATCCTACATTTACGAAATTTGGTTCAACAGGTCAAGGAGATATGGCGCCGTGACCTTAGGTTTATGCTTCTCCCATGACCATTGACCCCACAGAAGTCATTGGCCCATTAAGTAATCTCTTCATAATTAGATGTTTCGTTTATTTTATGACCGTTTATGATTTGATGCCCCTATTAGGGACGGAGGCCACGATCTGTGAATAAATAAACAAATAGAATATGGTTTTTTTATTGGGAAATAATTATTACATTCCAAAAGCAATTTTCTACTTGATAGGCTCAATTAGTGAATAATCTGAATTTTTTTATCAAAATGAGGGTTTTCGAGTGAAAGGTAACTGTCTTAACTGCTGATTTGTTCGAGAAAATTCCTTTGAATTAAAGAACCAAATGTTTCGAAGTTGCCTCTTTGTTAGAAATCTGCCTTCCACCTTAACATTTATCATTCTTAAGAAGAAGACAAGATTTTGAAGAAACTAAATTATTCCTCCATTCGGTAGAGAATGTTAATGCCTGCTTTTGGTCATCCAACTTGAGGGGAGAAATAAAAGTTAAATTGATTTTGTGACGAAATCCTGCATAAAATTACAAGTTAATGGTCAAATACAAAATCAAATTGAATCGTTAAAATGAAACTCAGTTCATTATAGATTGCGATAATTGACAGGTGGTTAGATGGACACGGGATTGATGGATAAATGGATGAATACGATTAATATGAATGGAATCAGGATGGATAGACTGATGCTTTTGAGTTTACGAATGGATAAGTACGGATAGGGTACGGCATGAAAAGGTTCACTTTCTCTCACTGCATCCACTTTTACCTTGATCACTCACATGCAAGGTGCCTCATTTTTAAAACTAAAAATGCTTTCCTAATCTAAACTTTTCAAACTTTCTAACTAGCCTTTTCATTCATGTGATCAAGTTCCTATTTTCCTGAGATGTTTCAAACTCTTCTCATCGGCTCTGGCATTTATGACTCTGCCTGCTTTAAATAACAAAAGCAAGTGTCAAAACGGCATGAAATTGAAGATAAGCTGATTCAAAAGGTTAGAGGTTCCATAGTCTACCTTCTTCAACCACCACACTCGCTTGCAAATAAAAGTCGGAAAATGTAATATATTAGGACTAAATTTTCACTACAAATTTTTATGCAGTCGGGATATCTCTACCGTTATTTCGAAGTCTGAAGAGCTCATTTAAAGCTCCACACCGATAGAATCCCATTTCCACTCTTTTTATAAAATAACGCCAATACTTAAAAGTCAAACTTCTTCATCCCTCAATCATCGTTTTCTGCATGGCGGTGGGGAGGAGCAGTTGAACGCTACCCAAGTCGTTGACAAGCCAGAGGTGACAAACGAAGTGACAACAAAAAAACTTAAACAAACACGCATGCAAACTTGACAGACGTGTAATTACTCGTGTAGCCTTGCCAGTTACAAATCGGCAGGATGGGTGGTGTGCTAATGAGGTCTTGCCGCAACTTCTGGGGTTAGATAGGAAGCAATCAATCTGAACTTTTATCTAGACCACGAGTTTTGGAATATTCTTAAAGCCAGATATTTTAAAACTATTGCGAGATATCTCTCCTTCGATCTTTTACCTTTACGGCTTGTAATTTTATAGCCCTGGTCGAGGCACACTTCCTCTTTTGATCTTAACCGCTTCTAAAAGTTGGTGTTTCAAGGAATTTCTAAGTTAATGGATAAACAAACTGCTGAGGTGATTTTTGAATACAAGGGGTTGATTAATAGGTGTCGATCCATTGGTTTGACTGAGACAACTTTATTCTCGAAAATGGGACATAAACATCGCGTATAGATAAGGCAGAAGACGAGCCGAAAAGCAGGTGCGGTTTAAAGAAGCCTTTCAAACTGTGTGAAATAGTAACTGCAGAGTTAGATGTAAACTACGTCGATAAGTAGAGAAAACTAGGTAGATGGCTTAATGGCTTCCGCTTTTACACGAATTTAACCAGCAAAGTGTAGAAGATGAACCTTCTTCTCAGGGCGGGTGTATTCACCTTACTTTTACGATGCAAGCAAAAGCCACACTGATACGCATAACCCTTTTTGGGGATTCGATGTAACAATGAATTATTTTGGCGCTCATTTAATACAAAATTGTATAAATATGAGAAGAAATAATGACCTATTTCAATAATTCAGTGAATAACTAAGCAGAGAATTAGGTGCTCGAAAAGAGATTCCTCAGTATGTTCACCTTTCTCACGGCCACCTCGACCCCCCGTTCCCCTTTTGTTACAACCCGGTTTCTGGGTTTTTCCCCCATTACTCATCGTCTTTGCTGTAGCCGGATGGACTTCCATATCTGGTGTCGCCATAGTGAATGGAATACTTTGCCTTCGGCACAAACGCATACACATTCTATCCGCAGTACCTAACGAGTAACAAAATGTGGTTCTATTCTCTTCCATATTCGCTCCAGAGTGACAACCCGCAACTCTAAGCTGCAAGGGTAAACGAACTACCAGAAGGACTGAACAGTTACGACTTCTCCTTTTCCATCCTTCCCCAATTCTAGTGGAAATATAAGTTTGCTCAAATGTTTTCGTTTCCCCACCTTCATACAAATAAAGAATCTGGGTTGGATTAATCCACAAATTTCATTAGAGGACTGAAACGTGTTGTTTCTTTTTTGGTTTTATGCAGGATGGAAGGACCTCGTCTTTCAAACCAGTCAGATATAGCTACGTGTTGGTGTATTTTTTTTCCTCTAAAGTAACACATAAAGGGAGAAAAGTGGAAAGCAAAAACGGCAATCACTTCCTTACATTAAAATGCACTAGTTAATGATTTACTAAATACAAAATTCGAATGCCAGGACATTCATTATTCCTAATCTGTAAAGTGTCACCCCTACCTTTAAATTTGCCTCGCCCCAACCCCCCACCACCCCCCGGAAGAAATTTATGCCCATCTAATCAATTTTATAACACCGTGCGTGGTTTTCACTTAAATTGTATGCGTTTATTTGTTAAAATAAACACTTCAAGTTGTGAATAAACTTTGACCTAATCCCCCATGAAACTATCAGGAGTGCCAATCAAAGTTGTCATTTAGAGTGCATTGGTCTCCTAGACCTATGAAGTGCTTCATTTGTCCCATAATGCATTCTAAAAGCGTTACCTCTATGCAAAAATTCTAAATGTCTGTTAGAAAATGTTTATGAGAACAAACGGGTTTGTCATGAGTCACGGTCAAGCTGTCAAATAAGTGACACTTAGGGAGGGAGATGCAACAGACCATGATGTTGTTAGTAACTTTAGAACCTTCCAAAGAATTTTTTATTGGCTGAGTTAAGATGGGTCGGTAGAAAAAGCTAGAAACTTTGAGCTAAATAAGACTGCATTTGTTTTTTGTATAAATTCAGCGTTTCAATTAAGTTTTGCGACCTTTTTGGGTTTTAAAACCAAAGCTAAAATTCATCTATCAGTCGCAACGACACAATGTTTGTGGATTGCTTAGTGGGTGAAGCTAGAATTCCTGGTCCATCTTAAGAATAGCTCCAAGTGAGTCAGGCTAATAAAGATATTTTGGGAGCGATTTGGCAGTTTACATGCACATATTGGAGACGGTTGTCAAGACCTAGCAATGCTTTAATAATGCCCTGCTCCTTCTCAGATAGGTGTAAATGAATGACAACTTCTGCAATTATATTTGATAATACTGACAAACCGGATCTATTTCACCTGAGACATTGAAGAACGGATGACCCACACGCGTATTCACAATACCGAAGAAGCAGTGCTTGCTGTAGCCAGTAATTTCGTGATCATAAACTTTTGGACCATTATGTTTCAGGCATCGTTGAAATAGTAAGTGACACAAGCGGTGAAAATATTTCAAGGACTGGTGGCGTGATCGGCATGAAGAAAGAGCTGAAAGAGCTAAGCTTATAATTTTTGCGTCCATGTTATTTCAAGATTTGCGCATTCAAACCTCATTGGATTGAGGGATTTAAAGTGCTGTACTCCTTAATGACCGCAATTTTGAGCGACATGTGACGCGATTATGGTCTTTTGAAAAGCCCTATTAAGATTAGTGGCTTTATTGGTTACTTACGCTTGGATGGAAAAAAATTACGTGATGTAGTTGGTTGCTAAAAAAATAATTAGCCAATTAGCCGACCAGGTGAAATCATATCGAAGTGGCTTGATTACAGTATTTAAGTAGTGTTGCGTGGACTCACCCTTGCGCGTTGAGCATGTCCCAAATGCGACAGGTGACATCCTCCTTCCGTTCCTATAAAAATACAGAGACAGGGCTTAAAATTGAGGCGAAAATGGACATCACCTATCCCCATTCCCATCCACATCCTCCTTCTTTTTATAGCTCATGCATTATAGATTAAAAAATATGCATATATTCACACGTAAGCATTTCATAAAAGGCGCTAGAGTTGAAGAAGAGAGCCAATCATCTGGCTGGCTAGTATATGGGTAGAAAGACGAAGAGATAGGTGTAAATGTTTGTAGGCGCATGATTTTATTTTACTTTTAGATTTCTTCTCATGATGACTTTCATTTCTCTCACAAGCTTCTCCTCATTCTCACACTTGTGATGTCTGGTTATCGAGGCGGTGGGAACGTCGGAATTCTTATCAGTTCCAATATTTCGTAGAAAATTAGCAGACTTTATGAGAAATAAAAGGACGTAAAGGCTAGAGTACTTCGCCATTTAAAAAAATGGATAAATGGATGGATGATGGATGAATGGGTGAATGGATGGCTACGGGATAGATGGATAGGAAAGAAAGGAATACGGGATGGAAGAATGTATGCGAGGTGGATGAATATAAGACAGATGAAAGTACTGTTTTATTATTAGAAAAGAATGTATAGATAGAGAATAAATGGAGTGATGAGTGGGAAGATGAGTCGATTGGGTGGATAAATGGATGACTCTGCAAATCTTCTTTTGTAAAGTATTCGACGCTTACGTGACACTAATTCAACTGTATGCACACTTTTGTCGAATTTAACTTACCACCATCACTTTAACTTTTATCTGACGTTGACGTTTAACTGATAGGTCTGTTGAAAAAAATGAAAGCAATTTCAAGGGTCCATTACAGGCACCTGCTTTGTTTCTAAAAAGTATTCTCCATACTTTGCAATCATTTTCGGCTAATAAGATCTCGGGTTTTTAAATTTTACAAAAGAAAAGCTACAAGTTATTTTTCCTTAGTAAAACTGTACACCGTTTACATTTAAAATGACGCACACACCCTTTCACTGTCTGCAAGACCATCGAAAACCCAGAGAAGTAGACATAATTGGCAATGCCCGAAAGTGTTATGCAACTACCTCCGTCTGACAAGGCAACTATCCTTATCGAGATGTTAAAAAATTTCATGTTTTTTTGTCGCAAAGATACTTACAAAACTAATGCATTCATTGATTCAAAGAAGGCTTTCCAAACACCCTCTCCTAAATTAAAAAAATAAGGAAGTTTCAAAGTCCATTCCAGCCAGAAACATCTCACCTTCTTATAAGCCATCTTTAGTTGAAAGAGGCTTATCAAATCCGAGGTGTGGATGATGTAGACGTCAGAGTCGAGATTGGTGAAACTCACATCACCCAAAGAGGTGTTCACCTTGGTAAATTCGGAATCATTGGACTTCTTCAAGAAGGGCTCCAATTTCCTCATTGGTATTGTGATCATCAGCGCAGTTGATGAATCTACTCACAAGGTGGAGGAAGAAAAGTTTTTGTTTGGGATTTTTATCGCCAACCTTTTGTTGCATTTATCGGAAATCCTGGTTTAGCATTTGCTTCCGTGAAGTAAACAGAGCTTAGGAAAAAAAGCTCTGGTTTTCTGCCTCACTTAAATCAACGAAGCAGTCATTTGCGTTTCAATGACGGTACTACTTACAATTTGATTTTACTTATCATAACCGCTTTAACGTTTTCTTTCTGGTTTTTCTTTTAATGAACTAGAAATACAAAAGAACCTTGATTGCAACCCCTTGAAATCCTGAAACCTCGGTTATTTTCATGCGTGCTGAGATGTTAGCTATAACCAGAATCATCGTTCATTTGTCCAAATGATTACCTCCTTCTTCTCCGTTCCGTTTCGTTTCCCAGTGTGAAAAATAATGGAAATTAAGACTTAATGAAAATCCACGCAAGTGTGGTAAAAAGTTAACCGACGATATTTAATTTAAAAGGGCACTACCAAGAGTGCTTCATTGTTGTCATCATCTTTTTCCTCCTTCTGCTGCTGCTTCCAGTTTTGCTTCCTTAAAACCCCGCATTACATGTAACACTGACGAGTGAATTGAGGAACACAAAAGTGCACCCCAACCCATCAAATGAGGCACTCACTCATTTCAATTAGTCGGCATAAAATATTGATGCCAAGTTTAATGACAAAATTAGCTATCCGGTTAACCCTCGAACTCAAGGCGATTGCGTGTCTCCCAGCTTACACCCATCATATTCTGGCGTCTTTTCTGTTTACGCTTGACCATCTAGCAGTCTCCTAGGGTTTACTTCAGAGGTAAAAATGAGACTAGGTGAAATTATCGATTCTTAAAAAGGGTCCCAGAGGCATCAATGGATACGAGAATACATCGATTGCTTGTCATTGGCACCGAGTGCGCGTAACTAGGGTCTGAATACTAATCAGCAGTTATACCGCTTCTTTGTTCCTGTGATTGTGTAATTATCTTTGCATTTGTTCCATTCAGATCAAGTAATTACCTTTCCTTTCGTTTTTGCGTCCCAGAAAAACGTGATAATTATGAAGCTGCGGGAAAGGGAAAGTAATTTAAGAGTTTGAGAATAAACAACTGTCTGACTGGGTTTTACATCTTAGTTGTCAGTACTTTCCAATAGAAAGAACGGAATGTGTTCAGAAAAAAAGTATCTTTGCTTTTGCATTTGTGACGAAAATGATGAAGAGAGGGAAAGAAGCTTAACTTCCCGCATGACTACTTCTGTCTGGCAACCTAATTGCTCTTGCGCAGTGTTACAGGAGATGTCATATTGGAATGAAGGCCGCTGCGCAGTTTATGCATAAATTGCACCAAAGAAGTATAAACAACTTTCAGCCCCACGCTGAGCATTTCAAGCGTTGTGTATAGCTTTCGTGTAGAAAGCACCAGTTTATCCCGTCACTCAAAGAATCATCTAGGAGTAGTTTGAAAATTTTAAAATGATTCTACATATCCCTGAAATTGCTTCACAAAACATGCAAAAAACGTTGACTGAAGAAGTTTCGAGAAATATAAAAATGCGTGTCAGACCTGTCAATATTTCCAGTCTTGCCAATCCCGAGTTCATCAAATAGTCTAGGTCAGGTAAGTAGCTACACGTACAATGACAAACCGGTGATTATCAAAGATAAAGTGACCCTAGGAAAGGAAAGTGTGTTGACATTTTTTATAAATGGTTGGGCTTTTTCTTTACAACGATCTTAATCTGGCAAAACTAGTCGCTTACATGATTTAGGGACACAACAGCAACAACAAAAAAGCAAGACATGTACTTAAACATTACTACTAAAATCCAATCTAATTTCACTTTCTAAAGTGCCTAATTCAAAGTGATGTAAATTAGTCAATCAAAGTGCCAGGAAAGTGGTGTCTCGAGCAGGTAAAATGGACACTCAAAGGTAGACAAATTCATTTCGCCTTTTCCCTTTAAGGCATTATTGGGTGGTCATAAAGGTGCCTTTTGGAAAGCGCGTGACAACCTCTGCCTCCTTTATGCATGCAAGAGAGCGCAACTCAAGGTGAGAGGATAGTTTCTCAAGTGTCAAAAAATGAAATCCATACTCACCAGAGGAAGTGGCCAAAGAATGCATCACAATGGATTCATTTTGAGTGTCGCTCTGGTTCTTGTTAAGCCGAATTCTCTGAAATGGCGACAAAATGGGAAGAGCATTTACTCACTTGTCAGAACTCCCTTTTTTTGATATTATGAGAGTCAAATAAAAGGATATTTTATATAAATGCGTTTCTTTATCGATTAGCCGTCAATGTCTGTCAGAAGGGACACATGAGCTCCACCTCAATTATTAGAAAATGTGGTGGTTTTTGTGCGTTAAAGGTAGCCGATAACAAAACGAATCCATGTTTTCTTTGCCACAAATTGACAAATTCTAACTTGAAGAAGCTTTGAAAATGGAAAGTTGAAAGTAAGATAGTGATTTTTTAATTTTTGACAAAAAGTGATTGGATGAAAATATAACCTATCTTGGACTATATAAAGTCTAGGAATTAAAATACACTATTCTACACCTTCATGTTATCGCTAAGATTTCGCGTCATTAATGTTGTTTCAGTCAAATAAGTGAAATTTTTTATTATTATTATAAAATACCTTAATGCGTTTGCTACGAAGCCCACAGACGTTCCCCACCACAGCTCAGACAGTTTATTGTTCAAATACATCATAAAACTGAAAAGACGATACTCTAAAACATTTTTCATCTGTTCTGCTGTTTCTAATTTTCAGTAATCTGTTTGAGACACACAATTTAGAGCGAATAGACATCACAAATGGGCAAAGAACACGTGTCATAAATGTGACACTAGCATCGAATGTGTCGCATTGCATGAAAAGTTGATGAATGAATAAGGTGCTTGTCAAAGCAGGTATGTGTCAACAGTTTGAGTGATAAGTTCCCTTTCAGCAGACAATTTTAACAATCTTGCCAGCAACGTGCCACTTGGGAGACAGACCTGAGGTGAGACTAAGTTGTGGTGAGGCAGGGAGGAAGGAAGAGGACGAGGGTGAGCTGAGAAAAGATAATAACCACGGAGCAGAAGCTACAGCCATCCATTCAGGAGGGGAAAGGTTTTGCAATAATGGTTTGTTTCTTCAATCTTAGCTACCTCTTCCTTTAGAAAATTTTGTGTCTCAAAGAATCGTTTCATAAAAAAAGAAGAACAAAAAACCATCCCCAATTAAGAGTTCATTTTCATGTTTTTGACCCTTAAGTTCGTCCATCACCTCCAATCCGCCAAATCAAGGGACTACTTCTACTTTATCGTGGCATCTCAACTTCCTTTAACCAAACAAAGTAGCGACTTAAATCCTGACAGTGGTAGCTAGGTTCATTCAAAGTTGTTTTGGTTTAAAGTACTGACACCTTCCAAAAGTCATGCATATTAATTTGCTCTCAAGTTCAAAGATGACAAAATGAATAGTTAAACCTAAGTTGCTTGAATATTCTTTTTCCTCTTGTCTTTGCAAAACATGCCGTATCAAGTAATTTTGACACCTTTTTTGCCCAACCACCTCTCTTACTTTGAAACATAAATTATTCACATTTTTGAGGTTAAGTTCTCATGGGAGGCTTGAAAATTTGTCATATAACATCCTAACTGATTCGTATCTTTAGGGAACTTGCCTATCCCAGAGCAAGCTAGTAGAACCAAAGTTACTTTAATAAGCTACATTTCTTTTTAATTTAATTGACAGATAAAGGGTTCAACCTCTAGCCTAAATGGTACAGTGATCAAACAGGTGTGTGGAGAGACTTTCATTCATAGAATTTGCCTTTTGTGATTACGCAAGTTACAAACCCTCTCGAATAACGTAACATGCATGTAGCATATGCTCTTTGCCAGTTCTCAGATACCTGCGATTGACAACAAACCAACCAAGACAATAAAATTGATTATAAGCTTTGTTAATCTGAAAAGGAATGAAAAAAATGGTTAAAACAAATCACTATCTAAGCTGTTCTGCGTCACTTTTTTCTTTTTTTGAAATTCATGCAGGATGATCACCTTGTCAAATTGTACCCTGGGATGCGATCTTATCATCAAACCGAGTTATGCACTACTCGAAAGGCAGATCTGAGCTGGGAGTAGGATTGCTGATAAGGTAGATCAGAAGCTGGAAATAGTTTCATCTTTAAAAAAATAAACGAGTGTACTTGTCCTTCTCAAACGTCCTGCATCTAAATTGACAGCAGTACCATCGAGGCATGATTGTATTTGGTCAGTCAAGAGGAACTATATACACTGGTTCATGCAGCCATAGGAAGAGTAACAACTCCTTTCGTATAGTAATAGGTCCATATGAAAACTGTCATAAAACTCGTAACTAGTTACAACACTTTCGTAAGGGAATGTTACATGTTGTCCTATTTGCTTTGTACTGCAGCCATGCCTATACTTGACGCTGACTCACTTAGACCCAATGTAATATATCCACATAAATTTACCCAAAAAAGACAAGAAACAAGCCAAAAAGTGGGTCATATTTTGACTAAAAACACAAAAAATCTAAACATTTCTTTTAAGAGGCAAAATGAAAGGCGATGGTGGTGAGGTATAATCAACGTCTATTTTGCTTACTCTTCTTACAGCCGAAGAGGCTCGCTAAAACGACGCAAAGCGAACAAATTAATATCCTGTTTTGGGATGAACACAATGATTTATTGCATCAGCAAGACTGGGCAAAGATTTTTCTAAGTTCTTTTTTCACCGGTGTTCATTCATAAATGGAAAATGAAATATGAAGGCAATTAGAGTGGACCGCAGAGGCGAGAAAACGATTAAGGGAAAAATATATGAGATGCTTTCACGCAGTTCAGGCACTTCTCGGTTTATTCAAAAGAAAAAGACACATTTCATGGGATGGAGATCATATTAGCCTTTTCATATCATTCTCTGAATTTATGAATTTATTTCAATGGCTCTTCACCACTACCTTCAATGCAATTTTGTCAGAATGATTTGTTAGTACCAATAAATCATTCTCTGATGGGCCGCTGCTTCGATGTCTACAGTAAAGAGCTGACCTTCAAAGTATTCTCTCAGACGCCTGAGTTTCGTCACATGGTCTGACGAGATTCAGGTAATCCCGGCCTTCCTTCCCCTCCTCATCCCACGTTTAGAATGGTGTTCTAGTCCAAAACCTACACTGATATTTCGGGTTCGCAAATTGTCGGGAACAATTACGTTCACCAGTCCCATAGGAAAAGTGATAATTTACCTCTTTTGAAATTTTTTAGCATGGATTATGCTTTAAGCTTTCAAGAGCTACTGAACGGCGACGATCTAAGAACCACAATGACTCAAACCATCACTGACGGACAGCTGTCTTCAAACCTTTCCCCCATTCAAAAGCCTTACTGCCTTACTACAGAATTTCATCACTCAGCAACCATCACCGCAACCTACTGTGATCGAAGTCTCCTCTATCCGACTAGCTAAATGGTTGGCTTACTAGTCGACTACGTGTCGGTCACTCTTGTTAACACAAAGGTTCTTTTATCACTACATAACACGGCGTGTCATGGAGAAGCTCAGAATGACTGCTGTCAGTTCAGGTGATTAAGAGTGTCTGGTGGGATGGCCGAAGCAGAACATGTGCACCAGTGATTAGTAGGTAGCGGTTAGTGGTTGTGTTTAGTGTGCAGTTGAGCACTCTCGGCACTTAAAATTGCGTGTACTACTGCCCGCCATGGTGGCACGTCATTTCTTGCAGTAGTACCAACTTTAAGAAGTCACGCTTTGAATCAAACACCCCTCACACAAAAATTCGGTTCAAAACCTCAATTGCATTTCATCTTTATGTACAGATGATTGATTTTATGATCTGCTTACCCGAAGTTCCAGGCCATTTCTCTGGATGGTGTATTCATCAGCAGTGTTGATGGCGAAACCTGGAGAATCCTGATCACCAGAAAGGGCTGAAAAGACATTTAATAGAGCCGAAGCTGATTGGACAACCGCAGAAGCTGTGACTGGTGATTCCTCGGTAAATGATTGTCCACTTTTCGGATAGGATGACTCTGCAGCCGCCTGTCGTTGTGTTTGCATATTCAAGAGGGCTTCAATAGATTGCAGAAGGTTTTCCGAACTGACTTCGTCCCTTTCTCTGAAAAAAATAGCAATTTCATAATTTCTGCTGTAAGAATTTTGGTTCATAGTGTTTGCTTGAATCGCACGAACAGGGAGATGGGTGCTTGAGATTCCAGCACAAATTGCCAACACTTCAAGTTGACATTTACGATAGCATATGGACAAAAAGTATTCAAAATGAATACAATTTTATTCTTTCGCGAAACCAAAAGAGGTTAAAACATTTAGTGTATTTTTGTGGTACAAAAGCGGTACATTGCTTTTTTCCAACAAGAACAATGTAAAGTGTCGCGATTAAAAGGCTTTGAATTTCTATTTCAAGTTTTTTTTTAAGGAATTATTTCTAAGAAATTTTTATCCAGAACTTAAGTCTCTTTGACTATGGAAAAATGGGAAAAGTTAGGCGATCTAAGATAAAAGGAAAAATAAAGCTCATGTCTTCAGAGGAAAAAAATCAAATGGACTACCGCATTTTTTAAATTTTACATATCTGTCAGGCAGAAATGATAGTAAACATTTTAAAATTTTAATCAAAATATGAGCAGCCAATCAAAAAAGTCACACGTTATTTTCCCCCAAATTACTAGCCAATCGAAACCAAGCATCATTTGTTGTGACACAAACTTATGATTTACATTTAAAAATATTCTAAAATTTGATTATCGGTTAAAATCTGCCATTAATTGCCATTTCACAAACTCTTAACTTGATTATTTTTACACACAGATTTGTTTACCTGTCTGTTTCATTCCAAAACCTGTGGACTTTGTGTTGATTTGGTATTAGTTTTAATTAACTTTTAAATACGTGAGCAATCCATCCACAGAATCTTGAATTCTCTCTCCTTTGGCTTAATCAATAACCTTTCAGTCCTTTCGTGCAATGAAAATAAACCATTCCTCCATACTTGTTGGTCACTTTGCGGATTCAGGAAAGACTAGAGGCCCTATCCTGATCTCATCGACTAATCACCGAATCCCGACATCACTGATTAAAGAATTTGTTGTGAGTGGTTAACTTTACGAATATCCAAAACATAAGGATCATTGTAGCCACCTTCACCTTCACCAATCACTCCACTCACGTATTCTATAAGAAGGAAATTAACAGTAGAAGTGTTTTTTTGACAGATTTGAGAATGTCAGTTATGGAACTACATATGGTACTCCGTCTACATCTCGCAGTAGCTGAACAGCAGGTTGGCATTAAAATGGAAACAAGTGGTACAATGAAATGAACCTATTCGGCTTTGAGTAGTAGGAAACTGGCAAACCCCTTTCTTCCAAGTCAGTTCACAATTAGAACAAAATCGTGAATTCAATGCAATTGACAAGATGGATCAGCAAGATTGGGTCAATTGCCCTCTTTCCTTTACCGTTACTTAAGGACTACCATTTCTGGATCATGGGTGGTTTTTGAGCATTAAGTACTTCGTAGTGACCTAAGTATGCGGATAGCTGAGTAGCGATTTGGTATAAGCTTAAATGCATTTCAAACCAATCGTATTCTCGAATCTCCTTTGTGTGTCTTGTGACCCCTCTCCCCTTTGCATTATTTGTGAATTGTCCAACAAATGCCTCTAGATTAAGACAATAAAATCTTAGGATCGATTTTTAAATTTAGTTGTGTCCGGAAGATTGTGGAAAAAGGTAGGGGATTGAGATGGGTAAGTATAACATAGACTGCAATATAACATAACAAAGGGAGCTTTTTAGTTGATTGCAATTCTCACTGTTCAACCTTTTTATTTTCTTTTAAAATTTTTCAATCAAACGTCTTACTCAAACAAGGTAGAAGATGTCCGCTGAAAATTCTCCTTTGTGACATTGCCCAAAGTTCCGATCCATCTTTCAGAATTTTGCCAAAGCAGCGGACCCGATTTTTGCACCAAATAGGTCAAATTTTTGTCTGTCGACTAAAGAATTTTAAAGCGAATAAATTCCAATTTAAACAAGGAGGAGGGGTTCATACTATCCAATGGTAAGCCTCAACGTACCACCTTTCGAAGGAGCAGATTCAAGTCCACTGGAGGTCCTTTGGAATACTGAGAACCTTTAAATAAATCCAAACAATCAAAAAATAATCCTTACTGTCAGCGATTGCTTAAAAAACCGGAAAATTTATGCAAATATAAAGTGTGATAGATGAACTCAATGAAAGATCAAAAAATTATCTCCTCGTCCACAAAACCAAGAAGAATAGGATCTTTGGCACAACAAAACTTGATTGTCTTGAAAATTAGTTGAAAAATATCTTCTACGACTTAAAAAGTTATTTGTAATTAATTTTAAATTTGACACATGCAGAAAAGGATTACAGAATTTGACCATTTTTTCATATTCTTTCCAATCTCTGCTCGAATATGGAATTTACAAATTTCCGACATTTTTGTTTTCTAAATTTATAAAATATTGAAGGACATACAGAAATAAATGCGCTCTGCTGCTTTCTCGGATTTCATAACACATACGATGATTAATTATTCGCAATTTTTTTCATTTATTTGGAAAATTGATAACCACAAAAAATAGTTATGCTTTCTCTGGTAAAATTCCCCTAACTGGGATGACCTTTGGGGTGCAAGTTTTGAATTATGCCTCTCAAAAGAAGTAAAGGAGAAAGGAAAGGCACTGCAACGACTCGCCCATATTCCTTATGGATCACTAGCCGACCAAATTAATAGGGTTTGATTTCAATTATTGATAAAATGGAGACTTTATCAAATTGAAAATGAAATACTTTACTTGTTTGGACTTACATGATTTGCACTAAATTCAAAAAGTGACAAAATTTGGGTTGGATTATTTTATACTTATTAAGAACTTTTTTACCTAGTCAAAATCTGGCAAAATGATGTGCTTGAATTTTATAGGAAAAAATCATTAAAATCTTTTAATTCCTTCATCAGTTATTTTTAAACAACCTAAGTCCCTATTGGAATAAATTTGTTCACACGGCTGACAGTTCTGAGGCATTAATAGATAACTGGATTGCTTATCAACCACCCCGGGAATGTTGAAACTGTTTGGAAGGTGACTTTTCGATGTAGTGAACAACCATTTTGGAGGTGGGACTCACGGAAGCCCTAAGAACGCTGGAATGAGACTTTTTAATTACAAATGATTGAGTCATTCTATATTTGCATCTTTATTGTCACAACTCGTGAGCTAGATACGCAAAAAAGTACTTTTTTTCTCCTCCATAAACACACGTGATGAATACCTGCAGCGGGTGGGTCATTTTGACCCAGTTAATTCGGAAGCTCCAGCCGGCTAGGTTGAAACGGAAAAGGGAACGCTGGCAATGCAGATAATAAATATGCCCTAAGCTGACAATAAACCTGTTTGTTTTTTCTCCCAAGGATCCCATCCATTACATGCTTTAAACGTTAGGTTTTTTGGCTAGTAAGAACGGCGATATTATTTGCAGCTTCGAAACGTTAAAATCTGAGAGATAAAGTCGGTTCAAATGCTGTAAAATTGATCAGAGAAAGACTCCTATAGAATGGTTTTTCGAAACTTAGAAATAAAGCAGAATATTTCAACAAAAGAAAGCCTGATTAGATTAAATTCTAAGTAATAAAGCCTGCTCTTTTTACGAAATTCAGTACAGATTCTTTTGCAGGAAGCACGGAGCGAAAGATTAGAATTTCTTATCATTGACTTAAAAACAACCTGTTTTGTCATTTTGCAAACAAGAACTTGTTTTATGTAAAATTTCAAGATTTAACGTAAAGTCGTGGTCCTAAAGTCGGGGCACTTTGAATGCAACAGATATACTTCCAAATTCATCCGTTATTTTGGCGTTCAACTCAAAGCGGGACGTTTTGAAATTTGCACTACCATAAGGAATGTCGCACCATCTTGGAGGTCAGTAATACATGCACTTCCACATGCCGAGCGTGTCCAACTACACACTGTTCGCTACTTACTAATCACAGTGCACATGTCCTGCTTCGGCCAATCCACTGGACGCATAATTAACGAAATTAACAGCATTTTATTTTGAGCGTGTCCATGACACCGCATCGTGTGGTCATGATAGACTTTCGTGTCATCGAGGCGAACGATGCGCAGTCAGATAGGTGGTCAACTGGTCGGTTAGGGTAAGTTTCGATCACAGTAGATGGAATGTTGTAGCGCTCTTTAGAATGGCATTTGAATGGGAAAACGTGAGGAAGGCGACCGTTGTGGTAGCTCCTAGACCCCCACTATAAGGATCACTTCTGCGCTGAGGCAAGAGACAAGTCTCTCAGTACGAGTGGGGAAGGAGATCATTTGCAAACATTTGGGATTTGGAAAAACTTTCCCTTATTTACCAGTACAGCCAACTATCTTGGGATGTTTTGACCATCCCGACAAATTATTTTATACCGGAGCTGCAAGATCTGAATGTCCGGCAGTTATTGATGCAATTGATGTATTCCATTAAAAATTTACTGAACAGAAGTGATAACAACTACCTGAATTAGGAACGCCGTTGAATCCCATTTTAGAGGATGCCTCAACAAGAGAGACTTGGAGTTCACTGCGACATTTAGGACCGTAGGGTGATTCAATGCAATCCATAGCTCCAAGAGGACAGAAGTGATGCCCCTCGTTAGCGGTCAGTTCGCAGGTTCCAATACCGTCCAATTCCACACTTGAGGGTGGATAGTAGTGCTATACGCCAAATGGGAGGAAAAGTGGGTCATACCTACCCCGGTAAATTATAGTGTAGGTAATTTCAACCATCTTGATTTGGATCCACCCTTTTTTGCAGGAGAGGGAGGGGAGAGAGAGAAAGGAAGGAATAGGAAGGGAGAAATTAACAAATTTGAAATGTCTATTTTTTACAAAAACTGTGCAGACGACTAAATGTTTTTTTTTCAGATTAAAATTACGTGGTATTTAACTCGACACGAAATGACAACCTTCACCTCGTATTACTCATTAGGAAATGAAGCCCATGAACTGGTTTCACTTTTTTCCGTAAAAACCAGCTTAGCAGTTTGTATTCTTGTCGAGGTCGGAACTGGGCCTCAGGCTGCCAGATGTTTCGGTTTCAACGCCTTGGAGGCACCAGTACGCTTGAAGCATTGCTGATGCGCTTTCAACTACACTGCACTAGAACTCGTTGACATCGGTATGTACTAATTTGTTAAATTCCTACAAATTTATTCAGTAAATCTAAAAATTAAATTAAAAAACATGCACACATGAGAAAAAGTGATTTAATTCATCCCGGTTGGATTAGTCATTCTCGTTCCCCTTTTCCTCTGTTCAGAGAGGGATTTTTCAACGGGGAGAAAAAAGTGCACTGTAAACGAACACATCGGATCAGAAGAAAAGGCATGGGGACCTAAGTGTACAAAATTATTTAATTTGCCCTTCAATTGGATGAGGTCAATCCTTGAGAAGGGTCGTGGAAATGCAGTAAATTTTAGCTCAGATTAATTTGACATAAAGGCGAAAAATAATTCAAAATGTGATTTCCAACCTAACGTGGCAATCAAATTTTGCTCTTCTTTCTAGCTAATAAGAAAAATTTTAGTAATAATAGTTGCAATTATCAGGAAGCTTTAACGCTTGTCAGAATCTCCTCGAAAAATTTGTCACTACAATTGACATCTGTTTAGGGCAATACTACTCAAAAAGTAGAATACATTTGCCCTGTACTTCAAACCGAGGACATCCTGTACCTGTCGAATTGCTGTTATATTCAACCAGTCTGTGTATGGCATGCTATATAATCCAATCAGCTACCTTAAAATACCAAAATAAACATGTTACATATCTGCAACGCCAGGATTAGGAAAGAAAAATACAAATAGTGTACATATGTGCCACCACTTGCCATCGAATGTGTTAATCATTGGAGGCGAATGTTTTTATATTGTGGGTTCTGGTTTGGACTTAGATCCGGTTTTGATGCATTACACTGACCCCGATTGTAGGTCCAGCGCAATGACGAAAGTGCACATTTTAATGGCTCACCGTCGTCCGTAGAAGAAGCACTTGCAATAATGGGATTGATAAAAGTTAATAACTTCTCATGTTGTAAAAAGGTAAGAATAACCCTGATAGGCGGTTAAAGTGCTTTAATATTACAAGCAGTGAAAACGAAGAGGCAAAGCCGAAAGACGGTCCAAGAAACTGACCTATGCTACGAGGGCTCCCAATTATGGAGTTTTGTCCACCTCTTAGTCCCAACTTCCTGACAATATTCATGCACTGAGGCTGGTAATAAAAACATCACAAATGCGTGTATTGGAATTGCCAACAGCAAATCATCGTCTAGGCTTCACCTTTATCTTCAAATATATTGTTGCCATAACCAATCAATTAAATAAAATAAGGAAATATGAAACATGATTATTTTACAGCTCTTGCATTTCTTTTAAAAATTCGACAATAAATGTGGATACTCGGTCCTCCAAAGGTCTTCTTAGGAGCTACTTCAATTCTGGAGTGGGTTTTCAATCATTTACTAGACTTAATCATTTTCTCCTTTTTTCTTACGCAACAATCAGTGAAAGCCAAGAACCACACACACACACACACACATACACACACACACACACACACACACACACACACACACACACACACACACACAGAGGCCCGCAAACACACGCACCGCTAAGTATGCGAGTTCTAGCTTGGATTTGATTTGATGATTTCCCACTACCATTTGAAGTTATTTGTTAAAAACAGCAGGAGGATGCGCAAATCACTTTATTATTCATTTCAGCAATGCTGAAAGCATTGCAAAGTTGTGGTAGTAAACAATTTTTATAAATTTGATAATCACTTGCCCTTAATGAAAGTGTACATTCAGAACCAAAGAACAGTACATTTATTATTTAGCTACTTTGAGTTGCTGAAAAAGAGGACGTAATGTGTTGAGGTGTAGTTTTTAAGCGTTGTAGCGGTTGCTGAATGACTTAAAGAGTGCAGCTAACTTTGTTGGACTTTTAACCCTACGTGGCTTGTTGCGTTCTTGTCAGCAGAGCTTTCAGCCTTCTTTTGTACTGACATGCTTTATTAAGGTGTTGAGGATGATTTAAAGGAGCCTTTACAATACCTCTAATATTGGTGGTTAAATCCCACAGCTACACACCAAAAGGAAAAAAGAGCCTGCTCTAAATCTCTGAAGTTATAAATGGTGTAGCAAGAAGGTGGATTGGAGACATGTCAACTTTTGACAACTACTCCACATTTGACTTCTGCCTAAAGGTCAGTTATGGAGCGATTTGGTTATAAGGACTCGAAAAGCTACCTTGGAAGAGTGAAAACTCACTTTTATTCTGAGAATAAGCACACCTAAATAAAATCTCTACGAGTGTAAACGAATACCCTATAACCGGTACAGTTGAAGAGGATTACAGGTCCCAAGTAAAACTTTACCTCGTACTCTCAATCACGGCTGATTATAGGTAGCATGACAACAACAACGGTGCAAGAACTTTGAAAAAAAGATGGATTTTAAAATAATGCATAATGTACTTAACCACTTTGGCTCTTCGGTTGCCACTTCACCGTAATAACGTCTCATTCATGGTTATCCTCCAATAGCCAATCTGCTCACAAGCAAACAACGTCTTATTAGATCCTCAAAGACGAATCCAGGATTAAATTACTCCCTATTTCTGTATTAAATTTTATAAATTTTTAGAGCGACTTTTTGCTACCGCTTTTATAGATATATGCATATTCTCTGTGCCAAATTTGATAAATTTTTGATAAATCTTCACCAATTCCCTTAAAGATTTGAGTGCACTTTTTGTAGGCAGGAATGGTAAAATCACTTTTCATTTCTTACCCTCTCCTCTGGCAGGCAAATCCATCCCTCAGTTTTGAAATCTGAAATGGTTAAAGAGAAAGGCGCTTTTTATTTGAGAAAAAAGTGGGCAAAATTATGCAGCTTCTGTTAAATGCGTAATAAGGTAAGGTTATAAAAAAGGTTCCTGGGAAATTTGCTACTGCAACAAGCATGATCGGACGATTGACACTGTGATTTTACATCAAAGCCACTGCTCAGAAGTGCATTTTGTTGTCTACGTGTTGAATTTTATCATGGAAATGACAGAGGCAATTACAACCTTGTTAGGTATAGGATTTTATTAAGAATATGAGAAGCTTCTTTCTACTCAACAATTTTAACAACCTCGATCAGAAGTGAGCCACACGTCTGGAGACAGATATACTCGAGTTGAGAATAGCTGTGATAAGAAGAAGCCAGGGGTACATCTATCTCAAACTATTAACTTTTGAATATGAAACATTTTTAAATGGATGTATGGACGGACAGAAGTATAGATGAATGGGTTTGTACGGGTTGGGTGAATCGATACTGGATGGATGGGTACGGGATGGATGGATAAATGGATGGTTACGGGATAGATAGATGAGTGTGTGGGTAAATGGATACGGGGTGGGTGGATGAATGAATATTTTAGTCTAGTCTGATTAGTGTATTCAGAAATGAGTGATCTTTTGAATAGAAATCCACGCCCTTAACTGCTGCATCATCGCCGCAACATCACAGAAGCCTAACAGACGTCCTTTTAGAAGTCCCTTGATTTAGTTAAAAATCTGAACCCATTTCACTTTTTACAGGTCTCACCTGCAAATACCTATCTCAAATTTCAGAAAAACCAATCACTAAATTACATCAAATGACTGTCTACGAAAGTACAAGGCGATGAAGCAAAACTGATCAATCATGTCTTTAAAATAATAAAATTGGAGGTAGGCTTACATCCCCTTCCGATCTAAAAAATGAATGTATTAAAGCACCACCACGAACTTCATACGTTTAAGCTCTCAATTTAAAGTCTTGCACACCATTTAAAAAGACTATTCGTCCATTTATGTGTCGGTTAGAGTTTGATTAATTGCTAAGGGTATATATGAAGTAAAACAAACTTTTATTGAGTTCGTCCACATGAAATAGGCACACGCATTTTAAAACTAATGTTTAACTGAAGTCGTGGTGAAAAGCTTTTCTCCCCTTCAATAAGCCATGGATAATTCCTTCTACGTCTCCCCCTGCTAGGTCGACATTCATCATCAATTCCCCCAACACAGCTTACATTGCATTTCATTTGTCAGAATTCAGAAAAAAAGGATGCGTTCAAAATCAGAAATTTAGGGTAGAAGTTAAAATTTTCAGAAAGAACTTCATAATCCTCGCAATGGAGCTTACCTGTCTAGTAGGTGATTTAAAAAGGGAGTTCAAACTAAGTCGGGACGCGTTTAAATTACGCGACGCTGTGACAGTCAGCGAATTCACCAGACACTCTTAATTAAAAGAGTTGGCAGTAGTCATTCGGATCCCTTTCATGAAACACCGTACCATGCGGTGGCGAAAGGACTTTCGTGTCAACTGAGTAGAATGGCAGGTAGTTGATTGTAAGTCAGTCATTTACTTAGCTGTTCAAAGGAGACTTCAACCACAGTAAGTTGAGGTGGTGGGTGATGAGTGATGAAACGTAGTGGAGCCTAGCGGTAAGGTATTTAAATGGGGTCGAGGTGAGAAAGAAGACTGTCAAAGACGACTCTGTCAGTTATGATTTGAGTCACCAAGTCGTAATGATTCAATTCAGCATGTAGAACGTTTGATCCTGGATGCCTAATTGACTAAGGCATAACCAAAAGACTAATAACTACTCCTCATGTAGAACTCTTAAACGCAATTATTCCTGAGAATTAGCGAACTCGAAATGTCAGCGCAGATTTTGGATTGAGACAGCATTCCACCTTCGGGAAGAATGGGCAGGCTTTCCTGAATTGCGCTAGATCAAGTGAAGGAACTCAGTTGTCTAACCGAGCACTTCGGTGATTGATCCTTCATTATGGACGACGAAGTATAATGGGTTGTCAAAAAATGGTTCAGGCATGAGATGAAGCTGTAAATCAGGCACCGGTGGAAAGATGGTGGACTAAGCAAATAAATGCAAAGGAGGATTGTGTTTAACAGATGGATGTATCCACTTCATGGCACAAGGCATATAACTCAAGGAGTCTCGGTTCGATGCTAAAGTCCCACATTTATTTGAAGCACATTTCAAATATTCAAAAGAGACCCACCACTACAAGGGATTGAGTAGCTGTCATTTGGGCATCTATAGCTGGGAAAGAGGTTTTGACACTCTCCACGGCACAGTTGAATTGACTCCGCAGCTGCTGCCTCACATTCGTCCAAATCGGCTAAAGGAAGGGGCAAAATAACGTTTGTAACTCCACTTTTTTGGCAGTTGATCGGCCGCTCAAACAGTGTGTCTAATCGTGTTTACATGGAAACAGATCTACTGATACGCCCTCTATTTACACAAGCGGAATTCTGAAAGGCACTTGATTTTAGACAACTTTTTCGTCTGCTGTTTGAATAAGAACAGACAGGGTTCAATAAATACTTGCTTTTTTTAAAAAAATGGGCACGTTGAATTGTTATCACAGGAGATACATAAAACTTAAACGCAATTGGCTATTGGAAAAGAAAACTCTTGAAAATACTATTTCTGATCGCAAACCCATTCATATAGGCTGTTTTGATGTCTCGATCGTCAAGAATAAATAGAACCCAAAAAAAATCTGACGAAATAAATTGACATAAAAGCTATTTCTAATCACAGACAGTTCTGGATTTTTAAAATCAAGACCTTGATGACCGAGAAGGTCTTGCAAACATCAATGATTGATTTGAAGAGTGATTTTCTACCAAAAGTGACGGAAAAATTCGAAGGAATCAAGAGGATATCAAATGTGTATCAATTATTTGAGGTTCCATCACATGGGATACAAAAGGGCACCAGAAAGCGGAAAATGATTAGGGGTAGTAGTGTTATGGCATAATTCTGTATATATCACTGATTTGAATGGAGGCGACCAGGAAAAGCTGATGCCATGACGCATGAAGTAATTACCTATCAAAAATCCTGCACACTTCTGACCTGATCGAATTACTTTTGAGGAGGAATGAACAGGCTCCAGAAGAGTTGACAAACGACACGACACCTAAGTGTTTAACTTGCCTACTATGTGAGACTATTAGAGCCCAGGTAAATTGAGATGATTTATAGAGCTTGTGAAAACAGTGCTTGTTTACTTGTCCGGCCAATCAATAAACTTCAAATGTGTTAATCAAACCAAAATCTATTGATTTTCTCGCCAGTAATGACAAGCTGATCTCTCAAAATCGATACGCAATCAGGGGTGTAGGGTAATTACTGCTTAAGAACACATCCATGGCATTGCATTATTTGATTACCCATCATAAGTAGTTGACTCAATTTAACCCTTGCCAGAAGTGAAGAGTAACAAAGACTCCAGTTATCGATAATAAATGTATTGTACTTCCTCTCCTTAAATGAATATGTTAAAATTATCACTCTTTTGAACCTTAAACAGGGTGGATCCAACAACTCCAACAAAAGTTTTGAAGTGTAAAATGATTGGAAGTGAGAAACCGAGATTATTCCCACCGATTCGATTAAAATTTTTTCGTATCCGAGTCACAATAGCTCATGACATCCATGGGAAAAGAAAGAATGGTTTCAAATGTGTGTGAGCCTTTTCGGTCCATTTTAATCTGTTCTAAAAAGTTTCCCTTTTATGCATTTCAACAAATCGCCAAATCCCACCATCCCTTAGACAGGAAAGCGTATAAGGGACTATCAGATATAACAATTGCTTTAACTTATCACTTATTAGGAGAATTAATTTAAATGAGCAACACTCATTGCTAAATTGGGGCCATTTATCAAAGGGAACTTCTACTAAATGATCCAAAATTCTCCGAAAAAATAGGAACTTTTCCCATACCAAAGATGGGAACAATTGCTTGACGATACTCCGACAGTTTGAATTTAAGTGATCTTTAAAGTTTGGCCAACGGAGACCATTGAAATGAGTCCAACAATTTCTCAATTTTAACTCCTGTTGACAAGTTTATATTGATTTAATCAATGAGGTCAATGAGGGACATTCACTGTAACACTAGCCAATCGCAAGATAGGTAGGTAGAAAAGCTTTTTTCATAAGTAAACTAAAAGGGCCTACTTATGGTGAGGCGATTTAATGGAAACGCAGTTAATTGGTTCTTAAAGATCTGCGAAATTAATAAAGTTTTATACAGCGTATTACCAATATGATCTCGACACAAACCATTAAGATTTGAGAGAATGTGAGGATACTTTTAGGCCCTATGAAATATGACGGACACTCAAATTATTTCGGGATTTCACATTTACGCTGTAAGGTCTTGTCTGTCCTCGAAGTTGTCACTCTCAGGTAGACCTCGTGAGTAAATAACATCACGGAGGAGGGAACCGCCCTCATTCCTTCGCCAGGCAAGGCGGAATGGGCGTTTGTGTGTGTGTGTGTGTGTGTGTGTGTGTGTGTGTGTGCGAGGAGCAATGTATTTGTCTCACTTGACATATGTGCTCACTAATGCGGACGCACTTCCAATGGGGGACGGGGTGGGTATGAGGGATGCAGTGCGCCTCAACAGTCCAGATGGGTACAATCATTGCCACGAACAGAGAAGAGGGAACTCCAGAATTGCTTCTTTAAAAGCATGATATTTAATGAGGTTGTAGGTAAGCTGACTTGGAGAGTTGCGTTTTCCCATAATGCTCAGACAAATGACAGCCCTACACTCATTTAGGTATGTTATTGGGCCAATTAAAAAAATCTTTATACTTTCCTAGACGGTTTGCATAAGGTTTACACATTTGAAAGGTCGACTGCCCTATCAAAGAGTTATGCAATTTTCGGTGAATCTAAATTTTTTCACAGGCTTTTTAGACGTTCCATGTAAACACCATTGCTGCATAATTATTCCTCCAAAAAGCCATATTTTAATGAATCTCTTTAAGGTAGTTTTCATGTCCGATTTTTGCACCTTTAAGTAAAGCTATCCAAGTGGTCCGAACACCTCGAAATGTGCCTCGTATGAGGAACTGACGGACGAATGCGAGGTATTCGATTTTTAGCAAACATACATTTAGAAAAGGTGACACTTCCGTAAAATTGATGTGATATACCAATAAATAAGTGCTGTCATCTATAAAAACCCAGTCTTAAAAATAGCTTCAAAAACGGATTCTAAATCATAAATTTATTCATGAATCCAAAATACTATAGCAGGAGCTTTTAAGAAATCAAGCATCTAACTCAAAGGCAAGGTAGTCGAATTAGGTTCCATTGTTCTTTTTGAAAAAGAAAGTAAATAACTGCGTATAAGTCCCTGAAATATGCTATTTTTTGGAAGGGCAGGGGTAGGGGAGGAGGAAGAGACTAGTTACCAGTAGAATCTGTAATTTCTATCAAAGAGGGCAAGAATTTCAACAAGCTTTACTTTGATGAAACTTTTATGTCTGCGGAAGAAGAGCCCCATTCCTACCCACCTTCGTTTCCGCCTCAATGTTATGGCCCAACAGTCAAGTCTACTTTGAACACCTTTGTGTTGAGTCGAGTAAGTAGGTCTCAGCCCCACCCAGGAGTTCCAGTAGGAACTCAAAATAAGCTAATCCATCTGCAGTCCACCACACACACGCACACACACAGGGCATGGTCTCCTGGGAGTGAAGCACGAAATGGACACTGAAGGGATTATTTGGAAGTAACCAACCTATGAAATATTTGCTTGCTTAACGATGCGATACAAAAGTCGCTGAGTATCACAAGTCAATCAACAAACAATCTACAATTCACGATACGTTTTTATGGCAAGACGCGATGGGCGTAAAGAACAACTTGATGGTCTTTGAACCAATCATATTATCACTCCTATTTGACATTACAGCTAGTTTCTGACACGTTAATCTCAAGTTATTTCTTTATCATCACGAACAGACGATTCATCCCCCGACCAAATACATATACCTTCATACACTCCTCAAGGCTACGAGAAGTTGTTGAGACAGCTATACGGAAAACTGCACCAATCGTTTTGGTCACCAAAAGCAAATTCCATTACATCAATTGTTAGAGCGTTGTTTAATGTAATCATGAACTTCGTTTGAATCTCCACAAATGTGGACAAAAAAGGTACACCTTAAGCACAATCTTTTCTTATCCACATCAGAAATTCATCTACATCCTCTTCCCTCTCCCCTAATTCAGCGTAAGAGTGGAAGAAGGGAAGAGTGGGGAATGAAATAAGACTTGCAATATCACTCCTGTCTGGAGTTCCTTTCCGTGCCTGTTCATCATTTGTTTTATTCTCGCCTTGTTTTTGTCTAGGAAGTAGTCCTATCCTCTAAGAATATGTTCTTTTTTCGCCCTATTTTCTGCCCTCCTGTCTAATTCCCTATACACCTACGTTTTGATAGCCAGGATGATTAGATGCTTGACACTCTACTTGCCGATCCAGGCGGTTCTGAAAGTACAGCTTTTGTAGATATCATACGTAGAATCTAGATTGGGGTAGTTATCATACTGCTTTAAAAACTCTGCTTATTCTTGCACAATCCACAAGGCAAGCATATTCGGACACCTAGCTCTTGCGATTTGGGCCATTAGAGAATTGCTGTCCTCGAAGTATCGTTGATGGAGCCGTCAACAGATATGTGAAAAAATCCGAAAAATCTGTTGAGAACGGCAATTAGACAGAGGAGTGGACAACTGAAAGGTTTCATGGTTTTCCCCGTTAAAACCTCTGAAATATCCCACCAAGAGTCTGCATCCACTCAAGTTTTGATTTTTGTCACATTCTGTGGAAAGAAATTGTCTTTCCCCTAAAAACTAGCAGGTGAGCCTTGTTGACATTCTCCCAATCGAGCAGCAAGTCTAATGGATGGAAGGCCAATCTTTCAGTTTACTTTTCATAGCAGCACGCGCCTCTGTAAGCACACCACCATTCCACTCTCCTCGTCGCTTATTTGATCTTAAACGAGGACAAAAGGTGGGCCAGAATGCAGTATTTTTCGGTCGTAAAAGGGGAAAGAAGTTATTGCTACCACTGTCGTTAGGAGCTTAATAGGGCAAAAAAATTATGACTAATTTCTTACAAAACCTCCTTACTTTATGGGCATTTTTTAAGAATTTTAAAAGATAATTGGAGAACAGATTCGTTTTTACTTCGTGTGCTCGAAAACAATTCTTCCATGTCTGAAGGTGAGATGATAAATGTCTCCTATACTGCAAGCCTGACACATATTTTACAAGATGGCTTACCTTTTACCCGAACAATGAAGGAGTGCGTTCTTCCATCAATGCTGCCCATACACCTGTACAAAATATATACAAAAATTCATTTTAAAGTCTCCCTTAAACTCCAGTTCATCGCATTGGTGAGAGAAGAAATCGACTGGTAGATTGACTGACTGATTGATGAATTGATCAACTGATCATGCAAATTTGGAAAAAAATTTCCACTTAATTTTTCACCCCAAATTATTGAAATGTGCTTCATGTCTTTTTTCCAACACCTAGGGCATTCTGAGGGGGTACCTTCAAAGCGGGTAGAAAGGTGCCCTGTCCAGCCATTTGCCTTAATAAGTTTGGCTGTTTTGAAATGGAACACAAGTGTTGGCTTTACTTCAGGGAGTCTTCTTGTCATTTAGTATTCGAAAATTATCAGTTTTTGGAAAAGTGCCAGCCGAAGAAGGCGTTTACAAATTATCCATTTTTAAATTTTTAAAGCAAACTCCCTGTTCAAATATTCATTTGGCACGTTCATGACAATTAAATTTGGCGCTTGATTGTTATTCCTCGGATCACTTGGGGCGTTTGTCTGTTGAGAAACGAATAACCATTTTATAAATCGAGATGGGAAGAAATTTATTTTACTTAATGCTGCAGCGGTTTCGTTGATATCCACAAAAATAATGCAATTGCTCAAGTAGTAACCAGAATTTATTATCAAGAGACCCAAAGTTTAGAATAAACTCTTTACCTTTCTAAAATGCTCAAGAATTCTGAAACACTACTCCGGTAAAACACTTCAAAATGAGGAAAATTTTTATCACGTGGACTAAGTTGGTGGCCACAAGTTATTTATTTTTGTTTGCATAGAAACAATAGAGTAAATTTGCCTTGATTCGTTAAAACTCGGTGGATTTTAATGTTCACCTTGTCTGTGTCACATATATGTGACCCGCCGATTTACATGCATGTGACACATCTTATTTACCTATGCATGGCAAAGTTTTGCATTCGGTTGCTCTTCGTGAACGGATGGATTAATTTTGAAATAACAAGTACAATTCAGTTATTTTTGGTCTAAACGCAATCGCAATTTCTTCGCATTAAGCAGCAGTTGATTCAATCAAATAAATGAATGATATCAGTTGGCATATTAGAACAGTAAAAGACCTGAGATCTGATAGTTATTTGTCCTCTGAGGCTTTGGTAACAAACACGCTGGGAGCTGTGACAGTAGTGACTCGCTTCAACCATATGATTTTATTCAAAGTAAATAAACTGACGCAATGATTTCTAACAATCAGTCCTCATCCTCAAGATACTTTACTCACTGAAGCAGGGAGCCTAGTCCTCTGCGTTTGTATCTTACCTCCACCCCCCAACTATTAATTTTATAAGCGATTTATCGAAGATCAAGAAAAGGTGGTAATCACCTCGTGGAGGTAGGCAATGGAGTCCTTACGTGACTGGATTCTGTGGAGTGGGGTCTTGCGCTGTCTTGTGTGATTTTAGACTTTTCTCCGGCTGATTTACTCTCGCTACCAATTTCTGAGTGCTCTCATGTACGTATCCGAGTTTTCCTCTTAAATGTTTTAACGTCAGCAAGGCATTCATATGAAACAGTGTCGTGTGGCCGACCAAACATGAAGCAAGCATAGGTGTGTGTTAGCGGGAACTTTTAATTCCCCATTTTCAAAAATTGTGTATCTTCCCCAGAAATACACCACCAAAATCAAACAAGGCTGAAGCACTTTCCGGTGTCACCATCTATTGTACAACAAATGCTACGAGAAGCTTGTGCACCTCCGCAACGGGTATAACCGCCGTTGAGAAGAAGCAGACAAATACGAAGCACCTCCATTAGGTTCAACTGACGTGAGGATTTCTTGAAACAGAAAAGGAGGAAAAGTAGCCGAGAGCATGGCAGAGCTGCCATACTAATGATTGACTGACTCATGTCTGTGCTTTATAATGCATGTGTATGTAAACAATCACACACTTTTGACAGATCCCTTCAAGTTCCAGCAGGCCATTACAACAAGCTCTATCAAAAATCATGCCAACATTTTTCTCCATTTTCTGATACATGGCCTATTTTTAGCCTTCTTTACAAATAATAAATGCAAAGCTTATTTATTCTTTGCATTTTTTAAAAAAATTAAGTAGTGTTCTTTTAAGTCGTTGCCAAAATATCTGTTACCCTACGGTTTCTGAGGTAAATCGTTCCAAAATGACACCCAAAATATCCACAACTGATCGGACGACGTCAATGGATATTCAGATAGAAAGCATCAGGAACATGCAGCACCTCCTATTTGCTTAAGATATACGAGTTGAAGTTATTTATTTGGCAGAAAACTAGTAAAAAGAAGCACTTGTCATGTAAGTGATGCTTGTCGTTTATTAATTTCTCAAAAAAACCAGGCCTTTCGCTTCTCTGCCCTTTTTTAAATATCAGTATTTAAAAGGTCTTTTCAAAAATTATTGAACAAATAAAATTGGCAGTCACTGGTTGTAATTTGGGCACTCCATTAAATAAACAATTGAAATTTTGTTCTTTCTTACAGGAAAAGAAATTAATTGATTTTGTTTGACAAGCAAATGAACCATAGACATATGTCGATTAATTGATAGGCATGTTTTACCAAGTAATTTTGAAGATGCACAAATTTTGCAATTGACAGATTGCAGGTGAGCAAATAAAACAGGTTTTTCTTCTTTTTACCTAGTTTGGGGGTATTAGATGAATACTTCGCAAAAAAACTATTCATTAAATATTAATTAGTTCGACAACCCTCCACCGTTTGTGCTGTGTAACTATTTGCTATGTACCACTGATATAAAGTGATATCAGTAATATAGAATAAGATGATTTATATGCACCTATTTAGTTTTTCTACGAAGAATAAACTAGATGATTTGAAGGTATTGCTCAAAAAAGAGTTGGTCATTGTTCACAACTGCACTCGGAACATTGATATAAATCAGCCTATTGCTGACAAAATATGCTACAACTTTTTTAAAGGAATAAAAAGTGACTTGTCAATAAATCTGGCCGATAGGATCATAGGTAAACGGCGCAACGCTTAAGGAGGAAATTAAAAGTACAAACCGCTTTCCACTGGTCAAACCTAATAAGGGATCACTCAAATTAACATCGCTTCTACTGAAATTACACCATGACCTATTTCATTGGGCAGATATCAACAACAAAATTAAATAGAAGGTCGTAACTTTATTTTAAAACCTTTGTATTTTTAAGAAAGGCGGACTTGAAATGTAGGGCTGATTTGCCCTTTTTAATTAAGTAGCCTTTATTTGACATAAGAAATATGTCAGGAACTAAGTTAAATAAAAGTGCATACGGGGTCCAATCCGTCCTTACGGAGAAGCGGACACATTAGTTTTTTTACTTTTGATCATTGTTGGACCCAAGAGGTTTCCTGGGTCCTAACCTACCCTCCTCCAAATATTATGGCCGATTCCAGCAGAAGTATAAATTTAGAGAAACATGCGAGGTATAGCGATGAGTCAAGAGCTAAAGAGTAAATTTAGCTCCCAATGTTTTATTTTATTGTCTTTAATGAAAAAAATGTGTGCTTCAGTTTAACAAAATTTTACCACTATTTTGACAAGTTGATTGATTGTTCTCTTTGCACAAGATTAGCTGAAACTCTTATGTTAATAAAAGGTATATTATCTTAATATCTCGAAAAGTTTATGAATTAATCAGTCAAATTTCATCTTTTGTAATATGACACTAAGATTTTTATTAATTTTAACGAAAATTGGATATGAGACTCCGCCTGCTGCGCTTAAAGGGGACTAGAGAGCAAACATGTTTGCTATTTAGCAACTGAGTTTGTGTTAAATCCCATTGAAAGAACAAATTACTAGGTTAAAAGGTTAAGTCTCCTTGTAAAACGGGAATCGAGTGTTGTTTGGAATGCTGAGAAAATGCAAAAATCTGCTAGAATCCAGTAATAGTTTTATAGAAGCCTAGGCTGTGACTAGACAACAGACATAACGAGACGATGTTTACAAAGGATAAAGTAGGTATACTTACTGATGTCTGTCTCCATCTCGCGCCTGAACCGTATACCTTACTCCAAAGTGGTCCAAATGTCTTCTGTTCACCTGTTCTCCACTAAAACTAGTACCCAATGCATCCCAACTGCTACACGATCCATTTCGAACTACGCCCTAGCAGCAGAAAAATATCGAGAAGAAAATATTTAACTCGTACCGTTTTGCAGATTGTTGTATTAAAGGTGAGAGATGCTCCAGGCCTAGCAAAAATCTTCACTTCAAATCGGCCATTGTCATTACTTCTGGATGATAAGAGAAGAGCATCACCTTCAACCAACTCTCCGGTTAGTCGAAAAGTGCAGAGAGCTTGATGAGAGGTGTTCAGACCGATGAATCTAAAAACTAATTAGTGAAGCAGGGCTTACGTAATATTATCCACATCGGGAAAGACAGGAAGAAAGAGGCTGAGATCAGCACCGTCTAGACAACCAAAAGCGGCTTTATAGACGGCATCGGAAGAGTACCAGAGTTGGTGCGACTATAAAAGGTGGTAGATATTAGAGGAGATAACATACTGGATTGCTGAAGGGGCAGTGTAATTCCAGTGGACGATTGTTCCAACGACGGTAGGTCTTACGAAAAAAATTTCCAGATATTCGATCTATATCTTGAACAGCAAATGCTAAAGGGCAAAAAAACAATTTTTTAATTGATTTAGTTTTATGCACAAATATAGCACCAAATTTCAGAAGTATTTCGCCTCATTGCAGAAGCTTAATTTTGGCATCAAAAGTAGCACGTTCAGAAAAAAGCAACGAACAAAACACAAAACGTCAGTTTGTGTTCACAATCTTTTCGAAGAAAAAATTTAGGGGAAAGAGAGGAATATCCAAATTTTGCAAAACAGATGCAGACAGGCAATGAAAACAGCAAAAGAAGGAATAGAGCTGCGATTCACAAGAACAACTTACCTACAAAGTTGATACAAACAATAAATACAATGTGTACTACAACGGACTTAGCGATGACCATCACGAATGCTTCGACATCCCGAGGTCAAATACACGATTTGAAATGCGGCTGATAAAGAGAAGGGTTAAAACAAAAGAAGCGACCTTAAAAATCAGAATATCTGAAAAGTGAAGACCAACAATTCTTGAATTATTGCTGCATTTCGCACTGCCGTAAGGTAAAAACAATTTATGTTGTGAAATAGACCTAAGTTTGCAGCATGACTACACAAATTCCTTGCAAGAGCACTTGCTTTTTATCACTTTGCTGCTAATACTTGCAACTAGCATTTAGCTTAAAAATCAAGAGAGCAGAGGTGTACACTACAGTGAAATAGCGAATCATATCTCCAACTCGCCTATGTTTCCAAGATAACAGTGCACCCCAACAAAAGAAACAATTACATATCATTCGATTAATCTCTAAGAAATGTATAACAATATGCACTAGTAATACACATTCTTCTCCCGAATATGTTCTCTACTTCTCCAAGTCCTTGATCCTGTTTTATTGCTAACAAAGCAGACAAAAATGCTTTATAATTAATGCTTTAACTGTTGTTTCGATAGAAATAAATAATAATCACTATCCTAGAAGTTGCCATGCACAAAGAATTGATCTATCTCCCGTTTTCAAAGTGATTTTAAAATGCCTAAACTACTTTTTAACCCCACAGCTGTGGTGACCTCGTCCAGCAAGACGGCTAGACAGATATGGCAAGAATGATTAAAACGCCAGGTCCTCTAAGCCCCTAGTGGTTCCATGCCCATTGGTATAAACGTTTCGCCAAGAGTTACATAAGCAGGTGGGCTACTTGGCTGAGCGTAAGACGCTAGACATGTCAATCATTAGAAATTTATTGCCTTCGCTTACCCCAGACCTGCCCTATTTCTGCAATAGCACTCCTCCCTCTAATCTCCTCCTGCAGGCTTCCCGGAGAAAAGGTTAGATATTAGCACCGTGGGTCCTGTACCACTGAACAAGAGAAAAAATTATCTGCATCGGTAGGTAGTTAAGACAGAACTCATTTAAATCAATGAGCAGAGGAGATAACTTAAGTTTTATCTGTTGCTGGATTTGTCATCATGTGATTCCGGAAATGGCGTTTACTGAACAATGCAAAATCTTTGAAATTTCCAAAGTGTGCACGACCTCCAAACATCCACAGGGCAGTGGACAGGTGGAAGGAACGAATAGCACTCTGATTGAACCACTAAAGGCTTTCGCTAACAATGCGGAAGCTGAAGGCTTGGATCTAAGCCTTGGACGTACTCTTCTCACGTACAGGCCTAGAGTCTATGCATCAACAGGCGTTTTACTATTTAAGATTCTTACAGGTCGTGCTTTGAAAGCGCCTTCCGATGCCTTTCTACGAAGCACCAGAGTAGCAACTAGCTATGTCTCAGAGTACATGCTGCGTCTGGAAGAGGGCATACGAGCATCTTTTAACATCACTTATGATACTTTTGATTGTTTTATGCAAGGTTGGACTAACTTCTACCAAAAGAGATACTTTGTTTAAATATACAGGCTGATTCCCCACCCATAATACAGCCCAAGTTTCATCACCCTTGGCTCAAAGATCCATTCCAACGGGCAATGGTACTCTCACCTACAAACTCTCTCGTCCACGGCGTGCAACTCTGTACTCGGCCAATAATCGTTCACCAAAACGAGACGCGATCCTACAAAGGCACAACACAGGTCGGATAAGGTGTGCACTAACGGAAAAAAGAAAACCACTTAAAGGCACATTTAAAGACAGCCCATAAGGGAAGTGCTGGAGACTGTACTATTAGAACGAAGGAGCTATGTTATACATATTTTATTTAAATGCGCCTTTTATGTGAGTGGCTTTTAGTAAACCCTAATCTTGCAATAAATGAGTTGTCAGAATTCCCCTAGGCAGAGAGTAGTTCAGTGATTAAATATTCCTAAACTTGTACCGATTTCCGTTGACTCCATCTAGTAAGCGTGTCCGAATAAAATTACTTTGATTTTTCACAGATTCTAGAAACCAAATAGAACTAAAATAGGAGCAGACCACATTTCCATGTAAATAAATGCTTAAGAACCACGAACAAATCAAGATACTCGTAATGATTTATTTGTGACTAAGGATTCAGGATGAACCAATAATTCGGTATTTGTACGCCGCTCTTAGTGCGGTCGTACAATCGTGCAAGGCTAATTCTAGAATAATAATTTAGAGTTTCGTCTGCATTTTCATGAGTTCCAGCAGATCTTACCCCATATACCCACAAATACATTCTTGCTTTCTGTATGACAACCAAATGGCATTCGATAATAAAAATTAACGACAAAACTTTTATGAACAATGTCAAGGTCATTGTGTCTGTTTAGATCTTTAGTCATAACGATAGGCCTGTAGCGGTAAAGCAAATTTACTGCGATTAACTAGTCTTTTGAAGACACTGGGTATTATAACAAAATGATATTTTCAAATCTAAAATTTAACTGCGTTTTATTTGCTCAAGATTTGGAACAAAAATATGTTACGTGGGAATACCCTATTTTTTACCTCGTACATACACCAATTTACAGGGGAAACTTGCCATCATATTAACAACTAATTTGATTTATATCTGCAAATGCAGAGACCGATTAACTAAGGCAGTGTTATAAAGTTAACTTTTAGCTGCATCTACGTACTACATTCGAGGATATATCGCCCATTCATCTATTCTGAGCGCACATTTGCTAAATTCTGCAATTCATCATCCTTTTAAGGATGTCTCGTAAGCCTCTCCCTGACAGTGACTTTAGTCGGCTTATTGCGGACCTGCGTGCAGAAACTGATGAAAGCGAGCGCAAACTAGCCAAGCTCTATTACTCGAGGGGCAATTTCAGTGGCCCTCAGGCTGCCGCCTTAGTCGGTACCTTTAAGACCGCACCAGAGAAAATGCGTGTTCTTCGCATGCTCGAACGTCGACTTTGTCGAATGAGTTGCGCTGAGGGTGAAGAAGTCCTTCGGAACCTACAGCTTACTCAAGGCGACAAACTCAGTGCATTGGACTACATTAAACGGTGGGTCGGATTCTGAGTAAATTGATTTCAAGTACGACCTTTTATAGAACCCTATTCGATCATCAAACTGTAGAAGGAACGGAGCATATAATGAAGGCTTTTGTTTCAGAAAAGGACAAACTACGTGCTCTGAATCAGCTTTGTGCGGTAGGGCTGTGACTGCGTGGAGTCCTCTTATCCTTTTCTCCCTAAACAGATATCGTCGTATGCAAATGAGGAGGTTCCAGCTGGTGGTCACGCGGTCCCGGAATCGATTGGTGCTGTTTTGAGTTCTGCACCTCCGCTTGAGGAACATGCCTATGGTCCTGTTAGAATCCAACTTTATGAAAAATACGTAAATAATCACAGACTCTACTAAATCATTGCCCATATGATAACGATCAACCATCCGAAATAAGCATATGCTTCTCGGTTAACATTTGCTTATATATCCATCTTCCGTTTCAGGGTGACAACATTTATAACAACCTTTATCTGAGCTGCTTGTGTCTTCATGAATCAGTATCGCGTTTCGTTATGTAGTCAGGTGAATATCAGAAGTGATCTCATAATTTTTTCTTCTGCTCCAACAGGGTAGAATTGGTCTCCAAAACTTTCCACCAACGCTTAGAGCCATTCCAAACTCCGCCTATGCCTGCCATCCATCCTACATATATGGACGTCAACTGGACACTTCGTTTAATCCCAGTGGGGGTCGTCCACCATTACCTCCACGACCTATCGATACTGCAGTGACAGGACCGGCACGGAAACTCTACTTGCCTCCATTGCCATCCTCAACAATAGATAGAGTGTGTTTTAGTCATGGAGATCCCTGTCTTGGTGCAGAACAGAGTGGAGTCTCGTCAATTGGATTTATTGACCATCAAAAATGGACAAACTCGAAATGTCGTTAAGCGGTGGCGAGAAAGAAGAAAGAAAACAGTGAAGGTTCTTTAAGAGTAAACACGCTTTCTTGTCATCTGTGAAGTCAACTTTCCAGCGTAAAGATGTGGAATTTCTTTTGAGACTTCTTTGGCTTCATTTTGTGATTGAATGGGAAGATGGATTGGAGAACTCGTTTTCCTAATTTTAACTATCGTTGGAGGCAGTGCTACTATTTTTAAGTAAAGTGCTTCCACCAACTATAGATAGGAGTCTGAGGAGTTGAAACCGAGGTACCAGAGGTAAGAAGGGAGGAGGCAATGCTCCAGCCCATCACGTTCTCATTATAATCTAATAGATATTTCTGCGAGTAATTGTTGACCGTAGACACCCAAGCGACTACCTACGAAGCAGAATGGCTAGCTGGAAGTGGCCTTGGCTGTTTTAATTTTGTAAGAAAGGGACTCGCATAAACGCATGAACTTATTTAATTACCTTGTAGGGGTGCGGACCTGTTACGTGTTCGTATGAGCAAGGGATAAGTCTTGCCCTTACCTCAGGTTACTCCAGTGCGGACCTCCCCGAAGGCATTAGCTACTGCCGTCGCAAATAATATGAACGTGAGAAGGCCTCCGAGTCTCAACGACGATGGTAAATGGGGTTCGCCTGGTACATTGCATTTATGAAGGGAGGGCTAGGAATAGATTACAGTCCACGGGAAGGTCGCACTAGTGGCTTCCTTTCGAAATTAACCAGCTGACCTCCATGAATGCAAGCTTTTTGTAAAGCATCAATGGAAACGACCATACCCTCTGCAAGGCACGAAGAGATGCTACACACGCTCACCACTACACTGATTCCGTTATTCTCGTAGACATTAGAAGGCTGGTAACATGGGAAACTTCTGCGCCTGTAGCGGGAGACTAGACGGATCCACTTAGTCATCCCATTCATAAGAGGACGCTACTTCTGTTACGACCAATTCAGAAGCCAAATTCACGTCGCGCCCCAGAAGTTGCCCTACGCTACCCTACCTTTTTTCGGCAAAAAATACCCATAAAACAAATTCGACATTCCACTGAAGTATAGTTTGCTGGAAAAAAGGAAGTGAAAACAGAATTACGAAATCCATTGATTCCATGACCCAATATGTAAATAATTCGATCAGACACTCCATCAAATCACATCTCAAACCTCTAGGTGGCGAAATGGGCAACTCTTTTGAATGTAAAACCTGATTTTTACACTAAAAAAGAGAAGCAACTACAAAAATATATTTCAATTATCATCGCCGTCCTCACTGCGTCATCATTCACATTCCATGATCTAGGCTGCACTTATTTAGCAACACAGAATAAGGGGAGAGGGGAGAAAGGAGAAGGATGGGGGTGAGGGGTCGGGTTAAGCATCCCAAAAGGATTAGGTGAATGAACTGATGGTGTGAGTACCTCCGTCGCCTACACCAGACACGTAAACATCTTCACCTCCGCCTGATCTAACACTGTTCGACAAATACTGGCATAAGTAAATGCATCGCCTTGGAGACGTTTGATCTTGATCCCAATTTGATTATGTTGATGGCCAGATTCGGTGGACGAACTACGCTCAGATTGAGGACCCGTTGATGGCTGGTTGTTACCGTTGTTGGCCTTCTTCGACGGTGGAAGGTGGAGTCGTTTTGATAGGCTCGGCTTGCCGACAACTGAAACCACCTCGATGGCGAACTCGAGTAGAGTACGACCCCAGTCGTTGGCGAAGGTGCAAAGAAAGCCGTGTCTGTAAATGAAGAGGCAAATGAACCCAAATTAAGATGGACTCGGAATGTTTGCATGTGGGTAAGAGAATTTGATGGACTCTGATAAATGGATTGAACTGGGGATCCAGGATGACAAGATGGATTTAAAAGTGGAATGTAGATTTCACATGAAGGAACCATATGTGAACAGATAGATAGATGTACGAAAGAACGGATCACAAATAAGTAGCTCAGAGTGAATAGACGATTTCTCAGAGAATCGGTTGACAGATTCGAGGTGAATAGGTTGATTTATCTGTGGTGGATGATTTAAAAAATTATGGTTTTCGAGATGGACTTATGTATTAACGCATAGAAATAGGGCAAATTAATCTGGAGCGAAAGGAGGCGTGAATTGGTGATAGGATGGACGAAATGGAGAAAGACTGAAGGATCAGGGAAGTATGAATAAATGGGCCTAAGATGAATGGATCCAAGATAAAAAAAATGGATGGACCGATCAGGATCAGTTGGATAGAGGATAGTCGACTTTGGGAACGTATGGATGGATGAAAGGATTCAGAATTGAGAGACAAATGGCTAGAGTTGAGGTAGGTGGTTCCACGACTAAACAATAAATTTAATCAATTCAGCAAGGGTTGATTGAAACTTCAAGGACAGATGAATCCAAGGCGAATGGGCAGAAGAATGGTTCAATTAATAACAAACCCAACTTGAACAGTTGAATCAATGGATAAACTCTACCGCCCATCTCCTCTTACACCATTCCTCTCACCTCTTTAGCGTAAACCGAATGGAGTTCTTTCTTAACGACTCCGAAATGCGATCCAACACCTCCGCAGCCGAGAGCTCCGGTCTTGCCAGCATCACGTTGTTATTGTTGTTATTGCTATTCCCAATACCACCCACACGGATCTTCTTCAATTTGCTCGAAACCGACGTCGGCTGCACACCATTGGTTGTCGAAGACAACGTTGGCGTGTTGGCAGTAGTGGTAGTAGTAGCGGTAGTGGAAGTTTTCCGCGCCAGAATGATGTTACGGAAAAGTCCTGCACCTCCGCTCCCACTGCTACTGATCACGCCCGAGAGGGACTGGTCGCTCACTCGGAAGCCGCTGGCTACAAAATGAGGTAACGTATAGGCCTAACGGCGCTTATAGTTATAGGCTGACAATATGTTTGCTTCCAGTTACCGATTAATTTATGACTTCGACATTTTATCAGTAAAAAAGTAGACAGATAGATGGATGTGTGGGGCTGGGATGAATGGAGGGAGTCCGCGCTGATAAGGAGATGGTGAATGGTTCTGAAAATGTCTACAACTACCAAAAGCCTTCCGGTTTCAATTGTTTAGGCCTGCTTTTTCGTGTTCTACCCCCTGAGCATTACAAAATGTCCAAAACTCACGCTCTCGTTCCATTCTCATGATTGGTCAATATTATTTACGGATAGACTCTCAATGTGCGAATAATCATTAGGGTTAATCAAAATGCTTCAAGTGGACAAGAATGGGACCAGGCCATGTCTTCAGCAGTCACGTACTTACATCCCCTACCCTAGAGCTTACTCACAAAAGTCGGCAATGAGGTCCTACTAAATGAAGTCTTGAATCATTTGGGCATTCTAAAAGGGGACGCGACAGTATGCGTGCTCACGCACATGTACAGCAGTTTATAACAAGTGAGTACGGGATGGACATATCCACCGCTTCCATCTATTAAGGATGTTTTTAACTCATCATAAAACACAGCCTTCATTTTCACATTTGTCTCACATATGATCCCATCCAAAATCGCCAGCTAGGGGGGATCTTGTTCAAATGGTGGTCCAATGCGCTGCCACAGTCACCAGCTGAACACACTTTTCTCATTGTTATCACAAGTCGTTTATCTCATCCTCCAACAAATTAACACTAGTTTGACCTGATATGGCCCAAACTCCCTTTAAAATGACCTACTCAGCGTGTGATAAACACCAACTTTGGTAATCATGACCCCTGCACTTCTATCTGCGAAACTAACACATAAGGTGACTAATTAGAAATCTGGCAGGATACTCGCGGAAACCTGTCGGATCTATGCGATCGTTCATATACATACATTATAAAGCATAAGTATGCGTCAGTCGAGCGGTAAGACACTCTTTATTGTGGTCTCTGCAACCCTCATTGTGATTCAAGCTTATCTGCTTTACTGACCGAGTTTAACCCGGTCTCACAGCACTAACAAAAGTTCCACTATTATGAAAAGTTTCATTTCGAGAATCAGAGGAAATTGGTACTGGTCACGCAGTAGTCTATATCAGTTGTACCTCGCAACCCTATTCCACATCGCATGTGATTATCGAATGCCAAGAAAAGATGAAAATCACTTAAAGAAACATCATCTGGGGAATGCGGAGGATGTGACAGAATGCGGCAGCA